TGCTACCAGGGCTCCATACTTACTATATTCTAGGCACTGTGCAGGACACCAGGCAGAGGGAATACACATAAATAGTTTGAATCACGGGATCTTTGCCTTCCCCAAACTAATTATAACGTAGTTTCTCAACTGGTATCTTTAAATTGAACTAGATAATCTCTAGCAACGAGAAAATCAGGAGGATCCGCGGAAGTTCCGGCCAGCATGCGCTCCGGGCGCAACCACATCCCCTCATCTTCGCTCCCTGGCTCCGCAGTCACAGATCGGGAACCCCTAAACCCTGAAACTCGAGACTCAGGCCCCAGTACCCACGTGGTAGGCCGGGGGCGGAGACGGGTCACGTAACTCCGTCGTTTGCTTGCGCGCCTGCGTGCTGTCGCCAGCTCAAGGACCCGGATTTAAAGAGACAGGAGCTACAACCGTCGTGGGCTGGCAGCGGCCTCTGGGCCCCTGGTCCCGAGGCCTACGGTGTTCGCCGGAGCCGGGAAGGCAGGTGAGAAGCGTCGCAGCGGGCCCGGCTCTGGGAAGGGAAGAGGGCCGGGGTCCGAACCTCGGCGCGGCCCGGATTCAGCTCCTTCGGCTCCTCCCCCGCCCGCCTGCTGAGCCCCGGAGCACACCCTCCGTGACGTGGCGGCCCCCTGGAGCCCACGGGGGCGGTTCGCGGCTCCCCGGGCCCCCCCAACGGGATCTGTGCGAGGGGAGGTATCCCCTTCATTCCCCCGGGCTTGTGTCCTCTAGAGGCTTTCATGGAGGGCGTTTCCGACCCCAGACTCCTCTGCATACTTCCCACGTTGAAGCTGGTGCGCTTGGTGGGACTTTCGGAACCTTTCTCGCTTCCCCTCCGCCTGTCTTGGCCGGATGGAAGAGCGCTTCCTTCCCCAGCCCCACTGGCTTCTGTTCGCGGGTCTCCGCCGGGCTGAACCGGAGGGACTCGGCACTGGGGACACGCCGCCCGGGGCCCGCTTCCCCGCAGCCGGGCCCCCGCACCCAGGACAGTAGACCCAGTTTACTCTCTGAGCGCGTGGCGGGCAGGGCTCTGAGGAAAAACAGCTGCAGGGGTTTCACTCCCAGCCCGTTGCAGCTCACCGGCCTAGCCTGTACTACATTCAGGCCTCAGCGGTTTCCTTCTCGGGTTCCTTTGATGAAATGCTGAGCGCGGCCGTTGGGAGCTGTGGGACCGACAGACAGGTTCCCTCAAAGCAGCATTGTGCCTCCTCGGGGCCCAGCGCCTCTGAGCCGCTTGTCATGTTGAGGGCAGGGCGCTGATGCAGGCCCCTTTAATTATTCCCACTAGGGAGGGGCGGTGACTCCGTACTTCGTTCTGCCAAGGGAGATATTGCAACCTAGCATGTTCTGAGCTCCTAGTATGGGCTTGCCATGCTTTCACACGCCTGATTCTTCGTTTTGGGAGTTAGAAAGACCTTTGTGGATCTTATGAAAGTTATGGAGTTAGAATGACCTTTGTGGGTCTTATGAAAGTTAAGGACCTTCTCTCCAAGAAGAGTACATTCGCAAATATACATATTTTGTATACATTTTCAGGGAGTTCAGAAGCCCTCACCAGCCCATCCATGGACTTGTTTTAATTTTCACAAACACCCTGTGAAATAGGTATTATCGTCCCTATTTTAAAAATAAGAAAACTGAGACTCAAAGAAGTTAAGGGATTTCTCAAAAGTAATTTAGTAAGCTGTATGATCAGATTTGGAGTCCCTAGGGGGGTGTAAGCGTTTAATATGTGTAACACATGCGCTAGTCTGCTAACTGAAAGGTCAGAGGTTCGAGTCCACCCAGAGGCACCTGTAAGAAAGACTTGGCAATCTACTTCCGAAAAATCAACCATTGAAAACCCTACAGAGCACAATTTCTCTGAGGTACATGAGGTCGCCATGATTAGGAGTCCACTCCATGGCAGCTGGTAAACTGGTATGATCCGACTTGAGCTCCCAGGACTCCCTGATTCCAAAGCTCATGTGCTTTCCTCTGCACCACGTTGCACTACGGTAAAGAGAAGCTGACTTTTTATTATAATGCCATAGCAGTTTCATTATAAAGGAGTGTGCAAACTGAAAATAATTTCCAGTATTTTTAAAGTAGAACTATAAAGATTCTTTAGAAAATATGAACAGTGTGTGATGGTGGGGGATACTATCAGATATACTCCCTGTTTCCATATGGATTGATTTATCAGTTCCTTTGACTCTTGCTTTCCATTCCTTCAGCATACCCGGATTCAAGTTGCTGAATTATAAACAGTTGTATAATTGCTTAAAGGATGATTGCTTATAATGAGAGCCAACATTTATTGTGCTCCTGCTGTGTGCCCAACTCTGTTCTAAGAACTTAACCCTTGAAAGAACCCTTTGAGTTAGGTACTGTTACTATCCATACTTTATAAGTGTGGAAACTGAGGAACAGAGAAGTTAATTTACCTACCAAGATACACAGCTAATAAGTGGTTGAATTAGGATTTGAACCCAGGCAGTCTGATTCCAGGCTCTGCTAGTTGCCTCTCAAAATAGGGCTTCTGATTAAATCACAAATCTATATAGAGTGGTTTAGTTGTTTTCTGAGGATGGCATATGTGTTATACTTCACGTTAAAAACTTCATGAACATAGTACAGTTTTTCTTGATGATTGAAAAGGAGCTTCAGGCTCTTGTAACTTTAAGTCTGGAGTGTCAGATATTGCTGATGGCCTGGGAAAATGAATAAGCATTTATGTTATTTGAATTCTTTTAATTGTGATTTACTAGATATGCCTGTGTACATGAGATAATTGAGCACCTTTTGCAAACTGGATTTTGGTATTAGAACTCTTCATCTTATGGAGAAGAAATCTTTAATACTTAGAGAAGCATTTGATTAGTCAGCGTGAAATGTGTATGACTCTGGCCTTTGAGGACAATGGAAGCCTAACTTCTCATTTTTATATCTTACTGTCTCTGCTTTTTATCCTTTCATGCAGCTGTATGACTTTGGCTTTCAAGACCCTCTTCCCACAAAGCCTCCGTGTACTCAGCCGAAAAGAACTGTGCGTATTCCGAGAGCGACATCACCAACCTGACATAAGACAGTTCAGCCAGTGTTCAGAAACAGATCTGATTCATGGGTGCGGCCTCCTCCTGAGAAAAAAGCCTGTTCTATCATTCCAGAGAGGCAGCCTAAGACCACGTGCCACCTGCCTTGTTTTCTCTCCAGGATCGCATGTGGGACTCTGCAGTGGCTCCAGTGAGATGGCCGAGCAGCGGTTCTGTGTGGACTATGCCAAACGTGGCACTGCTGGCTGCAAAAAATGCAAGGAAAAGATTGTGAAGGGTGTTTGCCGAATTGGCAAAGTGGTGCCCAATCCCTTTTCAGAGTCTGGGGGTGATATGAAAGAGTGGTACCACATTAAATGCATGTTTGAGAAACTGGAGCGGGCCCGGGCCACCACAAAAAAAATCGAGGACCTCACAGAGCTGGAAGGCTGGGAAGAACTAGAAGATAATGAGAAGGAACAGATAACCCAGTACATTGCAGGTGGGGTGGAGAAAACTGCTTTTTCATCTTACTGGTGCCAAGAGAAAATACGATAAGGAGAATAGAGTCCAGTTTTTTTTCTTTTGTAGAAGCTATTTATTTGGAAATAATTTCAAACTCACAGAAAAGTTGCAAGAGTAAAAATAGTACAAAGAACAATCATAGTTCCTTTACCCAGATTGACCTGTTGTTAACAGTTGACCCTATTTGCTTTGTCATCTGCATTCACATGCATCCTCTCTTTCTCTCTCTCTTTCCACACACACACACATTATTTTTTTCCTGAACCATTTGAGAGTAACTTGCATACATTGTGGCCCTTTACTTTTAAATGCTTCAGTGTGTGTATCCTAAGAATACGAATACAGGCAGTCCCCTGGTTGTGAACAAGATCCGTTCCTAAATCTGTCTAAGTTGAATTTGTAGGTAAGTTGGAACAAATACAAAGTTATGCAATCAACATAGTGTTAATGGCAACGTCATCCAACTTAAAATGATGGACTATATTCTCCTTCCTCGAGCCTACGAACCGCTGAAGCCACACAATGTTTTCCTGAGTGTCACAGAGTAGTGCGTGCATTCATTATTACGAACCATTGTATTTAACTCAAATTTTAATAATACAATAGGCTTTACAGCAGTCCGTTCTTAAGTACGAGTTGTCTGTAAATTGAACATTCTTAATCCAGGGACTTACTGTATTCTTTTATATAACCATAATGTAGTTATCAACTTTAGGAAATTTATTATCGAGATGACACTCTACCATCTGTATTTCAATTTTGTCAGTTGATAAATGTCTTTTATAGCATTTTTTCCCCTCTAGTACAGGATCCCGGTCTAGGATAGGATTAGGTATTGCATTTAGTTGTCATATCTCTTTGGCCTCCTTAATCTGGAATATTTCCATAGTCTTTCTTTTTCTTTTATGATATTGACATTTTTTAAGAATAGAGTACCCACGACCCTTTATTTTATCTATCATTTTATCTGTATGGACTCACAGATTATTACTTTTTTCCAATGGCTTATAATTCATGACAGTACTTTTGGTACTTGTTCCAAACTTGGCCAATGGAAACCCCTTCAAGCTGGTTTTTTTATGCCCTTGTGACATATCCCCATCTTTTTTTTTTTTTAATGATTTGGACTACCTCTGTACTTTCTTGCATAACAAGATGTTTTTAGGCTCATCTTGTATGAATTCTACCCCAGCCCTGGTATCAGCTGTTTCTCTTAGGAGCTCTCATTCCCATTAGTGGGGAATGGTTTTAGAGACCAAAATCTGAATGCTAGGTATCCTCATTACCACTGGGGTATCTTTGTTTCTAAGCTTTTCCAGCAGACAGCTACAAAATACATGCCAAGAAGCAGTCATTTGAACAGAACAAGGTGATACTGCGTGATTTAAAGTTAAGAAAGGTATATGTCAGAGTTGTGTCCTTTCACCATACTTACTCAGTCTGTTTGCTGAGCAAATATCTGAGAAACTGGACTCTATGAAGAACAACAGAAACCCTGGTAGCGTAGTAGTTAAGAGCTATGGCTGCTAACCAAAATATCGGCAATTTGAATCCACCAAGCACTCCTTGGAACCCCTATGGGGCATTTCTGCTCTACTCTGTCTTATAGGGTTGCTATGAGTCAGAATCGACTCAACGGCAATGGTTTTTTGGTTTTTTTTTAATAACAACAACTTAACAGCATCTAACAACAGACAACACACATAAATACACATACAGACATATGTACATACACAAATACATATACACATGTACGTGCATGTTCAAATATATACACATTAGAAATCTTGAGTTTACACCAATACCTCCAAATCCAGTTAGTCCTTTTTGATTTCAGTGTCCTTATCTGTAAAGTAATATATCTTCAGTTAAATATAATTCTGGTCACTGTGTTGTTAGGTGCCGTCAAGTGGGTTCTGCCTCATAGCGACTCCGTGTACAACGGAGTGAAACAAACAGTGCCCAGTCCTGCACCATCTTCACAATTGTTGCTGTGTTTGAGCCCCTTGTTGCAGCCACTGTGTCAGTCCGTCTCATTGAGACTCTTCCTCTCTTTTGCTGACCCTCTGCTTCACCAAGCATGATGTCCTTCTCCAGGGACTGGACCCTCCTGATAACATGTCCAAAGTATGTGAGACATGTCTCGCCATCCTTGCTTCTAAGGAGCATTCTGGCTATACTTCTTCCAAGACAGATTTGTTCGTACTTCTGGCAGTCCATGCTATATTCAGTATTCTTCGCCAACAGCATAATTCAACAGCATCAATTGTTCAGTCTTTCTCATTCATTGTCCAGCTTTCGCATGCATATGAGGCGATTGAAAATACCATGGCTTGGGTCAGGAACACCTTAGTCTTCAAAGTGACATCTTTGCTTTTTAACACTTTAAAGAGGTCTTTTGCAGCAGATTTGCCCAGTGCAATGTGTTGTTTGATTTCTTGACTGCTGCTTCCATGGGTGTTGATTGTGGATCCAAGTAAAATGAAATCCTTGACAACTTTAATCTTTTCTCCATTTATCATGATGTTGCTTGTTGGTCCACTTGTGAGGATTTTTCTTCTCTTTATGTTGAGGTGTAATCCATACTGAAAGCTGTTGTCTTTGATCTTCATCATTAAGTGCTTCAAGTCCTCTTCACTTACAGCAAGCAAGGTTGTATCCTCCGCATATCGCAAGTTGTTAATGAGTCTTCCTCCAATCCTGATGCCATGTTCTTCATATACTCCAGGTTCTCGGATTATTTGCTACACATACAGATTGAATAAGTATGATGAATGGCTACAACCCTGACATACGCCTTTCTTAACTTTAAACCACACAGTATCCCCTTGTTCTGTTTGAACGACTGCCTCTTGGTCTATGTACAGGTTCTGCATGAGCACAAATAAGTGTTCTGGAATTCCCATTCTTCACAATGTTATCCATAATTTGTTATGATCCAAACAGTCAAATGCCTTTGCATAGTCAGTGAAACACAGGTAAATATCTTTCTGGACGCTGTAGGAGGACTGTAATAGTGGGTATAAAAATGAGCATCTGTCCTTCTGCTTTGAGAGAAAAAAGACTTCCAGGACAAAAAAATTCTCCTTCCCATATATTCCATTCTCAAGCTTCCTACCCAGCCCTGCCCAGCCTTAGCCACTGGCTTCAGCTATTGTTACTTCTTGACCCATCTCTCATTCAGAGGAAGAGAAATACAGTGTAGAGTTAAACTGTCACGTAGCTCAGATAACTCAGCAGCTGGAAATTTTCTTGCCTATGCCAAACCGACATTTTTGTTTTACTTTTTTGTTCATCTCTAAAGTGGGTCAAATTCCACCAAAGTGAAGTCCCCAAGTTTTATCTACTGAAATGTGATTTCTGATTTCCTCTAAGTCCTGTCACTTCTAGAGACTGTATATATGGGATAAGAGGTAGGGAGTGTTAATGAAAATTTAAGTCATTGTTAGAAGCATATAGTAGCTGGATCTTTTGTCCCCAGACAAGTCTCTCTTCCAATTCTCAGTACTCTGTCACCTACAGCCTCCACTCAGAGAAAGACCAGCCAGCTACCAGCCTTGAAGTAGTGTCATGGTAGTGACTTACCAAGCAAGATTCTAAGAGCAATTGATAGATTCATTGGAAGCTTTCTCAGGGATCTTTCACTTACAGATTTCCCCCCCTCCCTTCTTTTGGGGCCCTACAGATCTGTCTTCTAAGGCAGCAAGCACACCAAAGAAGAAAGCTTTTGTCCAGGCTAAGTTGACAGCCACCGGCCAGGTGACGTCTCCAGCAAAAGGCGCCTCTGTAACCAATACTAATCGTCGGAAATTCTCTGGCTTCTCAGGTGAGATAGATTAGAGCTACTTTAGCTGTTATGTGCTTTTATTTACTTTAGCTTTATTTACTGTCCTGTCCTGACTAAGAGTGAAAATTCTGCGCCATCTAGTCTTTCATTGCATAATAATTTGCTGCTTCTGCCTGAGCAGAGACAGGTAATGGCTAATGATTAGTGCTCCACTTGCATTGTATTTCTTTGTACACTTTAATCTCTACTGGGGTAGAGAGATGTTTGTCAAGATTTTTTTTTCCCTTGAAATAGTTACTTGGTCAGATAGAGATTGTTATTATAACCTGTACTTTACTTCCTTGTTTTTTGATTATGAAAGAATTTTGAGAAATTATATCCCTAAACTTGCCTGATCTGGAGCTAAGAGTACAGAAGAAAGGAGATGTCATGCATGGACCACATCCGCCATTTCTCAGTTTTACAGCTATTTGTTTGAAGGGTTGGTGTATTTGTGGAACATGGAGCAGGAGGAAAAAAGGCTCTGAAGGGTATTTGTTTTTTGTTGAGGGGACAAAGCCTAGTGATGAGGCATGTAGACTTTGGAATCTGTCAGCCTGAGTTTAAATCCTGTCTCCAACAACTGTTAGCTGGGTGACCTTGAACAAATTATTTAAACTCACCTGTAAAATGAACAGTTTCTTCACTGGGTTGTGGTGAAGGCTTAAATGAAAGTAGCTGTAAAGCACTTACACAGTGCCTGGTACATAGTAGGCTGCACATAAGTATTCAGAATTCATGTAACAAATATTTTCTGAGCACCTACACTAAGCCCACCACAGCATTAGGCACTGGGAATACAGTGATGACCAAAACACCATCCTGGCCCTCTCATGAAGCTGATAGGCTGCTAGGAAGATAAGCAGTTTCCAGAAATCACTAAGTTAATAAACCCAGTTTGGTATGAGCTATGAGGGAGAAGTATAAACAGTACAGTAAGAGTATGTTATGGGGACCTGACATAGTCTGGAAAGTGAGGGAGGGCTTCTCTGAGAAAGTTTACATTTAAGCTGGAAGTTGAGGAATCACAGTTAACTAAAGGGGTGGATTGTGGCTATTATTGTATTTTCTTGCAGGGTAAATTTTCTTTCCTTTCTCTTCACCTATAATAGATATATATACATGCATATATACACATAGACACACATGGTTTCTTTCATGTGAAGTACAGAATTACTGTCTCACAGATGGGACTCGGGAAAACTTTACAAGGGCATTTGGTGTACAGAGGAGTTGGATATCAATATCATCTATTAGCCTTATATAACGGGTGGCATTAGACTAGGGGCTTTTACATATGTGGTTTCCTTTGTTCTTCAGTTAACCCTAGGAGGTAGTTTTACTAGGCCCAGTTTATGAACGAGAAAGCTGATGTTCAGGTTCATTATGGAGTTAGAATTTGCACTGACGTCTGTTTGACTCCAACACCTGTGCTTTTACCCTACACCCTGTTGCCTCCTTACTGTTGGGAGACATTCTTGTGACTGACTCAGCCAAAGAAAATGAATAAAGCCAAACCACTTAGACTCAGAAATTGTTTTGGGAAATAGCTTTACAAAGTTGAAAGAAGCCTCAACTGGAGGTAAGAAGACTTGGGTTCTGGTCCCAGCACTGTCACTTGACCATTGTTTAACCCTGAGTAAGTCCCTTCAGCATTCTGAGCCTGTGGACCCTTATCTGTGAAACAGGAATGGCAATACCCGCCTTGTCTACTGCACAGTGTTTTCACAGGACTGAAGGAGATGATGTGGCAAAAATGGTACCTGACTCTGGAATTTTCGCTGCTTTCAAACTCTGGGGCTTATTCGTTTGTTTGCTTTTTGTTTAATGGTAGGCCAAAGATAGAAATATGGAAGAGTCCAGGTGGTGGTAAGGACAACATGTTTCTGGAAGGGGCCTGGTCTTGGGGACGGAGTTCAGAAGGAGTTGAGAGAAACATTGTATTCCAGTTACCTTGCAACCTGGCTGAACATCATGCTTTGGAGATTTTGTCCCCTAAAATCCTCCTTAGAGTCCAGGTCAGAGATGAGGATAGATTTATAATTTACAAAGCCCAGACAGGAAGAAGTTTGTATCAGCAGCCGGATTTCTAATGACTCTGCAGCAAGCTTGCAGAATGAAATTTTCTCTGCAGCTGGCCATAAGGAGGTGAGACGGAATCCCTAAAGAGTTGTACATAGTTATTTTTAGGTGTCTGGAGGGAAGCCCTGCTTGTCGATTGATTGCCTTTATTTTGAGAGTAGGAAAGAAAAGAAAGTGGTGATGAGGAGGGGTGGGAGTGGCGAGGGGTTGGGAGTGCAGAAGTGGGATCTGGCTCTGCCACTGAGGAAGCAGGTGGTCCTGGAAGTCTTACCTGGGTCCCATCAGTAAGAGGAGAATAAACTAGATCATCTTTAAGGTTTCTTCCAGCCCTGACAGTCTGCACTGGCAAGGATTTCACAGTGAGTGATGTGTCCCTTGATTTCTTCCTTCTTCCAACTTTTCTGGGATCATCCGTGAAGTGCTCACTCAAAGAGATGGACATCAGCCTGGTCCTCTGCTTGGCTGTGAGGGAGGCCGTTGTTCCTTTGCCACTAATAACTGAGATTTGGGGAAATTATTAACCTACATTTCTTTACCTCCGTTGTTTTTTATTTAACCTGTGAAGCGGGTATAGCGATATCTACCCCAGAGGGCTGACTGGGGGAATTACATAAAGCCACGTATAAAGCACCTACAGAGTGCCTGTTAGTTTTCCTCCTTCCTTTCCTTCTCAGAAAGGCAAATGAGTCATCTCTGCTGTTTCCCTTTTTCTCTCTCCAACAGCCAAGCCCAACAACTTTGGGGAAGCCCCCTCCAGTCCTAACCTTAAGACTAGCCTGTCCTCAAGCAAATGCGACCCTAAGCACAAGGATTGTCTGCTACGGGAGTTTCGGAAGTTGTGCGCCATGGTGGCTGAAAATCCTAGCTACAACACGAAGACTCAGATCATCCAGGACTTCCTGCAGAAAGGCTCAGCAGGAGGTGGGGCTGTGAGCTTCCCAGCTTCATGGGCACACGACCTGTGCTGTTCCATAGGGCCCTGTGATTGGTTTAATGCTCTGTTGTCACTGTCTTGAAATTCATAATAATTTTGAACAAGGGGCCCCACATTTGCATTTTGTACTGGACCCCACAAATTATGTAGCCAGTTCTGCGCAGGGCACTTTGGCGTCTGTCTTCCTCTGCCCTTATTGTGTCCACAGGAAGCCAGAAGGACCCATCCTATTTGACCAATAGGAAAATTCACTGTCCTGCATTTTTTATTAGGTTTTTGTGAACCACACGCATAGCTTGACATGGAATCTTCCAACTGTTTCTTTCATTCATCTAACAAGTAGTCCCTGAGTGTAATACGCTCGTTACTGGGCCCCTGAAGTGATTGTCACGGGTCTGGCTTGCGGGAGTTCATCCGCAGGCTAAAGGGGAGGCAGACGCTTAAACCACCAGCCACTGAACTGTGAGGCCTGTACTACAGTAGTGATATGCACAGGGCATTATGGGAACACAGGCAGTGATATATACAGTGTTTCAGTCCAGAGTCTCTGCTTCCTTGAGTTTATGTATTTATTTAAGCTGCATTTCTCAAGAACAGTTCCTTTCTCTGTGTCTCCAGATGGTTTCCACGGTGATGTGTACCTAACAGTGAAGCTGCTGCTGCCGGGTGTCATTAAGAGTGTTTACAACCTGAATGATAAGCAGATTGTGAAGCTTTTTAGCCGCATTTTCAACTGCAATCCAGATGACATGGCACGGGACCTAGAGCAGGTCAGAGGAAGGCAAGGGTGGGCAGCATTCCAGGTGGGGTTCTGCTAAGCCAGGCACCTGCAGCCTCTTATTTCTGGTTGGGGTGCATACTGTTTTAGGAAACGGAAACCCATTCAAGCAAGCTTCCACTAAGGGGGAGCTGGATTTAAGGCTACAGCTATTAATTTCACAAGTTTCTGAGAACTGAAAACATGCTACTGCTGAGTCACGCAGGGTCTGGAGCTAGAGAGTCAGGCTTTGAGACTTCCCTCTGTCTCTTCTGGGGCTGTGGTTCTCAGGGTTGATTTTTCTTGCTCTTCACCCCTATAGCTTGGGCTTAATCATCCAGCCTTGGTTTGGTCCTCATTCCAGACTTGGCACCATGGGAAATTTCCATTCAAGAACCTCTGTTATCTGATGATCATATTTGTCTCTTAGTTTAAATTCTTGAGCAGGAATCAAATTGGGTCAGCCCTCGATCACTTGTGTTTCTTCTCAGCTCAGGCAGGTAGGCAGAGCCTATGGTGGATAGAGGTGCCCCTTCCAGGAACTATGGCTGAATATATTCTCTAAGAAGTGAGGTAGATGTGTGTGAGTTGGGGACAGGAGCCATGATTGAAATCTCCGATTCATCTTAGTCCGGGGTGTTGGAAGGTATACTTGGCCACCTTGGGACTGCAGCAATGGCATTTTGGTTTTTGGAGACAGGGTGACGTGTCAGAGACAATCAGAGTCTTCTTTGAGCAGAGCAAGTCTTTCCCCCCAGCTGCCAAGAGCCTCCTCACCATCCAGGAGGTGGATGAATTCCTCCTGCAGCTCTCTAGGCTCACGAAGGAGGATGAGCAGCAGCAGGCCCTGCAGGACATCGCCTCCAGGTCGGGGCTGCCCCCGTCAAACAACACCCAGTGGGGGTGGGCCTGGGGAGACAGAATCACCTGGGAAGGAAGGTTTGGGGCCCAGAGTTCTTCAGAGACCAAGTTGAATGTGCCTTATCCCCCTAGGTGCACAGCCAATGACCTTAAGTGCATCATCAGGTTGATCAAACACGATCTGAAGATGAACTCAGGTGCGAAACACGTGTAAGTACCAGCTCCTCTGACAGCCTCAGCTGTCAGCTTCCTTTGTTGCCAGCTGGTGTCAGACCTTTGGAGTTCCAGTCTGGATTTGAATCTTGGTTCCACCTTTTTACTTCCGGTGGGACCTGATCATTCATTTGACCTTCCTCAGCCTTTATTTTCTTATATGTAAGATGGAGATACCTTTCTTAAACAGAGTGGCTAAAATTGAAAGTATATGAAGGAACTATCCCAGCACCTGTAGAATATGTTCAGTAAGTATAATCTGAGTTTCTTGCCCGCTCTAACCCCTTCCTTTGCTAAGGCAGCATCCAAGCAGGCACAATATCTCACAAAAGCTGAATTTTCAAAGAGCTTTTTCTCTTCCTGTGAAAGTCTTTAGACAATAGAACACAGCCCTTTCCCCAGGTATTAGGATCCCTGCTCTCTCTCTGAGGACAGACACTGCTTTCAAAAGCAATAGGGTCAGAGGCAGTGGTTTTTGTTTCCTTGCTCCTGTCCCTCTTGACAGGTTAGATGCCCTTGACCCCAATGCCTACGAAGCCTTCAAAGCCTCACGCAACCTGCAGGACGTGGTGGAGCGGGTCCTTCTCAATAAGCAGGAGGTGGAGAAGGAGCCAGGCCAGAGACGAATGCTGAGCGTCCAGGCCTCGCTGATGACCCCTGTGCAGCCCATGCTGGTGAGGAGCACTGCTCTCCTACTCTTCTCTCCAAATGCCATACCCTCTGGGTGGAATCTGAATGTTGATAGTTCTTGCAAGTCGATGGAAGGAGTTTGGGGGAGAAAGGGTGGGAATGCAGAGGGGCATTTCCTAATGGGGAAGTGAAGGCAAAGATAGTGTGATCTAGGGGAAAGATCTGAACTCTAGTCCCAGCTCTGCCCCCAACAAGCTATGGAATCTTACATGAGTTACTTAGCCTCTCTTGGTCTTCAGTTTCCTTGTGTAAATGACATCTGAAATTCTCTGAAGCATCTGCCTGGATTGGTTTAGCTGTCATCTTGTCTGGAGGCAGGTGGATGTACTAAGTAACTCCTGAGGTTCTGTGACATGCCCCGAAGTTACTTTGAGGGTTGGTGGCAGAGCCAGACTTTCTGTGCCAAGACGACTCAGACCTCTTTTTCTTCTGGGAAGAGAGGTAAGGAAGCTTAAGGTCAGCTCTGAAAGAGATCATCTTGATCCTCTGCTTATTTCATGAGAAATGGGATTTACTTTTCCCAGGACCCACCGCACACACTGCCATGCCTACCTGTGAGGTCCTTTCGATTTTTCCAGTGGTGTACAATGCTGTTTTTGAAAGTGCATTATACCAAAGGTTTGGTTTACAGATCTATGTTCTGTAGTGTTCCATCTTTCCTGGGAATATGGGACAGCCAGCACCAAAAGTAGAGAGATTGCCATCCCAGGGATGGGACCCCAGTCACCTGCAGTAGCAGCCTTTCTGGCTTTTATAGGAATTCTTTCTGGTGTCTGTTCTACAGCCTGTCACTTGAAGAGTGGCATGGATTATATAGCTTAGTGGTTAACCACAGAGGCTTTGGAGTCGGGCCTAGATTCGAATCTCATTCCTGCCATTTACTAACTATATAACCTTAATAAGCAAGTACTTAACCTCTCTGCACTTCAGTTTTCTCATCCTTAAAACGAATACAGTAATATCTATGCTTAGGGTTGTTTCAAGGATGACATGAGATAGTGTATGGGATCTGGCACGTACAGATGCTCAGAAAATGGAAGCTATTGTTATTTGAGTCCAGAATGGTATGGGTATGTGAACAGGCAAGCCTGTGTCTGGAATGGCCTGTCCTAGGAATCCTTGATCACTGTCACCCTGCCAGCCTCACTGTCACCTGCAGTCTTTAATCTTAGCTCTACCTACCCCCTGTGCTAAGATAAACCCATGTGTTTAATAATAACTCATAGGCCCTACAAGATCCTAAATTACTGAGAAAAAAAATGAAATGCTTTACTATTGGAACTTTATGTTCTGTACCATAATGACATTCATATTCCTCCAAATGCAAGCTCCTGTGTCAACTCTGGTGATGCTTTATACCAGAATACGACATTGCCAGACTTTTCCATTCCCATCACCTCTTCAGTGGACTCCCTGAGCATGCTCTCTGGGCAGTCAGTCCCCAGGACCTGGGCTCTGTCCTGACTAGCCCAGTCCTGGCCCTTTGGCTCTCCCTGTGAGCAGCACCTCATTATCGGAAGAGCACCCTTACGTCTCCAGGCTTTGCTTTCCCCACCCCAAGGCCGAGGCCTGCAAGTCCATCGAGTACGCGATGAAGAAGTGTCCCAACGGCATGTTCTCTGAGATCAAGTACGATGGGGAGCGAGTGCAGGTGCATAAGAACGGGGACCACTTCAGCTACTTCAGCCGTAGCCTCAAGCCTGTCCTACCTCACAAGGTATAAGTCCCTTCCTTTCTGCCCGGACTGTCTTTCTCCTTCCTGCCTCTGAGAATCTTAGGGCTGGAGTTCCATAGCCATTCCAGCTCAGGTACACAATAGGGATTTATTTTATATTTGTCAAATGAATGAATGAATTCATTTATTCATTTCTGGAGGGGTTGCTCAGCAGGGACAAGCAAAGAGCCCAGAACGGGGCTAGTCAGGACAGAACCTGGACAGTAATATTTCCTCGCCATGGCGATGTTGGGGCAGAGAGGTCAGTGGTGAGTGAGCTGCAGCTCTCAAGCGTCTGTGTCCTGTGTGCCCCCTGCGCTGGGTTAAGGCTCATGTGCAAGGGGCTGCTTGACTGCAGTCTATTAATTTATTCAGCAGGTGTCTGTCAAGTGTTTAGTCTGTGCAAGGCACTGTTCTAGGTAGTAGGCATATAGCAGAGAAAAAAATGGACAGAAGCCCGGGCCCTCATGGAGCTTACGTTATATGTGAACACAATCCTGTGGGGACATCTGGAAGCCCAGCTGTGGTGTGTAGCAGTGAAAGAATCAGGACATTGAGAACCTCACTCCTCAGCCCTCTAAGGTCCTGGGGCCACTATGAGCCTTTGGGGGGTCTTCAGGAAAAAGCAGCAGGAACATCTGGCTCCATGGACATAGAACTCCTGCCCTGCTGCTGTCTTCTTTCCTAGCTCAGTATGGTGTCAGAGCCCTCAGGGGTGAGGCCATGCTGTGTGGCTCATGTCCTTATCCACGTCTTGCCTTTTCGTTGGAACACTGAGGACAAAGCCGTCGGCCATTTGTTGCAGGCATTTAAGGGGAGACCTAAGCAGTGGCCTCCCTGTGGCGTATTAACCAAGGTTCACTTGTTCTGTGGGGCCCAGGAAGACTGGTGAGGAACTGCTCCTGGTGGGTCACTATTTAATGGGCACCTCCTGTTACACAGAGAGAAGTTTGAGCACAGCTTTCCAGAATTAAAACCCCTTCCTTCCCTGCTTTCCCTTATCCAAGCTTCGTTCATTGCTTGCCTCTCCTGTGCTTTTGGTTCTTTTAAAGGGCTGGGTTAGGGATTAAGGAGAGTGGGGTAGATGTGCAGACCTTTCCTGCTCCTGCTGCAAGCATCCTGGGTAATGATGGCCTGTGTACCCGCTCCAGATGAGGAATTGGACCACAGACGTGCTTTCTGGACCCCATTGCTGGTATCAGTTGGCAGGGCTGCCTTGGGTTACAGCAGGGCCTTTCTCTGTCTAACTGCCTTGATCAGCAAAAACCCAATTCCAGACAGCCTTTCTTACTCATTCTGAACTATAGCTGAGGGTTCAGAGCTCCTGCTCAGACAACGTCCTGCTCACTTTTCCTTGCTGCTCCTGAGGTCCATTTCTTCCTTTCTGTCTTCTTTCCAACCAGTCTGTTCTCCCCACAACCGGTCCACAGCCTGATACCTGCCATCTTATGCAGCAGGCACAAATCTCTGCCTGCATGTGAGCTGGCCTTCCACATGCTGTTGTTCTGTGTTCTTCTGTGTCCTTCCAGGGCCTGGGCTTTGCTCTCTGTGGCTGGGCTTCAGGTTCCTGCTGCCCATTCATCCCCGACCTAAGTGACCCTTCTGCCTCCAGGTGGCCCACTTTAAGGACTACATCCCCGAGGCTTTCCCTGGGGGCCACAGCATGATCTTGGACTCTGAAGTGCTCCTGATAGACAACAAGACAGGCAAACCTCTGCCCTTTGGAACTCTGGGAGTGCACAAGGTACTGGCTGATGGCTGAACGTGCGAGGGCAAGAATTCGAGTGCGTGTGTGTGTGCTGTCTGTATGGGGAGGAGCGCACCCTTCTTTAGAGTAGGGCTTATTCTTCACCTCTGAACTGTTGCCAAATTTAGCCCTCAGCTGAGACATGTCCTTTTTTTTGCATAAGAGGAACTGGTGTTGGGAACCAGCTTATATTTGGGTTGGTTTCCATCCAGCAGCATCTGCTGAATGCCTTTGTGGCAGCCCAGGGGTGTCAGAGCACAAACAGGAGTGTTTCCATGAGGTGCTTTCAAGGGCCTCCAGAAGTGGCCTGGTCTCTGTTTTTTAGCCCTCTTAACTTTTGTCCCTTATCTACTTATTGCCTCATTTTCCCTTACAGAAAGCCGCCTTCCAGGATGCTAATGTGTGCCTGTTTGTTTTTGATTGTATGTACTTCAATGATGTCAGCCTGATGGACAGGTGAGGTTGGCTAGCATCTTTAAGCCCACGAACTACCAGGAATCTCTTCATTTCCTGGGGAGGAGATGGAGAATCCAGGTTGGAAAGGAGGGACAGGAAGGGGCCTATGCCTGTTTGTGCCCAGGAGCTGGCAGGAGCAGGGGCAGGAGGGAGCTGAGAGGTAGCATAGCAGCTACACTGCTCACCTCCCTACTCAGCATGAGGAAGAGCTGCTGTGTTGACTGCATCTCCTGAGAGCTTGAGTCACAGAGGGAACCCAAACCCCCAGAGAAGTGTCTCTGCCACAGCACACTGGAGTGTTGCAGGGAATAGACTGTGAGCACCGAGGGGTTTCCATTATTTCTCTTAACAGCACCCGTAGGGGCATAAGGCAGATGTATTTCAGCTCAGAGGTTTTGATTTTAGAAGAGACTGCCATCAGGAAGCTCCTGATTGTAGGGGAGGCTGTGGGTGGGACAATCTTAGGGAGAACTAGTTAGCTGCGTCAAACTCTTGGGCCCAAGAAACCTCTATCAGCCCCTTCCACACTTCGAAATGTTGTCTCTGCCCGACTTCTGTCGCTGTTACCTACACCTTGAGTGTGGAAGGGGAAGGACATAGAAGAGAGAAAGAATTGTTGGAGGTAAGAGTTGGGGTTTAGGCTTCAGGTCTGAGTCACTCAGCCTTAGGGTTGAGGTGCAGCAAGGTGCAGGGGTTAAAAAAATGAGAGTCTCAGTCATTTTTCATGTGAGACCAGGATTTATAAAATCTGTTTGGGCTAGAGGCCAGTTCTTCCTTGGCTCTGGGGGATAAGGTAGAAATAGGAATTAAAACTATGCAGTGGCTCTGTGCCACAGCTTATAACTGTCCATCTTCAGCCAAGATGGAGCCTACAGCCCTAGGCAGGCAGAGCTGTTACACACGGGGGCTTTAATCCACGTCAGACCCTCTCATGAAGCAACAGTTGTATCATTGTGCCCCTTCCCTCCTCAGAACTCCAACAGGGGTGGGAGACATCTTGGCCTTGACCTCAGCTCTCCTGTCCGTCTTAGGCCTCTGTGTGAGCGGCGGAAGTTCCTTTACGACAACATGGTTGAAATTCCCAACCGGATCATGTTCTCAGAAATGAAGCAAGTCACGGTGAGCGAAGACTCCACCCTGGGCAGGGTCCTAGTGGTTGGGAAGCAGGGCAGAGAACCCCTTGGGTCAGATGTGACGGGAGAATGAATCTTAATCATCTCTCTTAGGGGGTCTGCTGATGTTTTTGCCTTCGGCTGTTTCATAGGTTGTCTACTAGTTTCCGCCCAGAAGGGCAGGGCAAGACCTGTCCTTCCTAGGTAGACACTGTATGTCTCAAGGCACCCTAAGCCACTGCAGCTCCCTGGTTGGGGGTCTCCCTGCTCTGCAAAGTCTGCCCCTTGTATTCAAGTTCAGATGTTTCCAGTGGACACTCCATGTGAAAGGGGACACCCTGCACCTCACTCCCACGCCCTCTCTCCTCTCACATCAACCTTGGACATCTCTCCTGTTGTCCCCCAGAAAGCTTCGGATTTGGCTGACATGATAAACCGGGTGATGCGCGAGGGGTTAGAGGGGCTGGTGCTGAAGGACGTCAAGGTAAGGCGGTCACGGCCATGACTTTCTCTTGAGATACTCTGTCTCCCCTGAGCCTTTCCAGCCCTGGCCAGGAGAGGGCAGCAGTGGTCTTGGCTAGATGGGGTGGGTGCTGAGGGGAGCCTTTCCAGGGGTTAGACTTGTCTGTTCTGGATCTGTGGAGCCCTGTTGGCACAGCGGTTAAGAGCTACGGCTGCTAACCAAAAGGTCGGCAGTTCAAATCTACCAGCCACTCCTTGGAAACCCTATGGGGCAGTTCTACTCTGTCCTATAGGGTTGCTGTGAGTCGACATTGACGCAATGGCAATGAGTTTGGTTTGGGTTCTAGATCTGGAGGGGGGGTTTGCGCGTATCTTCTGTAGTACCTGGAGCCTAAGGGGTCTTCCCCTCAGAATAGCCTCGGCATTGTAGTAGGGCTGTTATATAGCAGTGAACAAGAAACCCCACCTTCCTAGAGTTTCCGTTCTAGTTCTTGGTCTCTCTCTTGCTTCCCCTCAGAGTCCATATGAGCCTGGGAAGCGGCACTGGCTGAAAGTGAAGAAGGACTACTTGAACGAGGGGGCCATGGCTGACACGGCTGACCTGGTGGTCCTTGGGGCCTTCTATGGGCAAGGGAGCAAAGGTCAGGATGGCCTGTAGCCTCTGGGATGGTGCTTCTTTGGAAGGCTCTGCATGGGGCACAGCCTGGCCTTTTTCCTGCCTTGACCTGCCAACACAGCCAGTCATGATTTCCAGAGTCCTGGGATCTGGGGCTCCAACCTGGCCCATGTCACCCCAGCAGGGACAGCTGGGAGCTACAGGCTTGGGCAGGGAGAAGTCAGGCAAGAATCTCGTACGCTAGCTTGGCACAAGGAAGCGCACCACCAACCATTTCTTCGGTCCCTGATAGCTTTATCCTCAGGAAAAACCTCCATTTCCTAACTGGAGGGAAGCTGGTGCCTGAAGAACTAATACTTTTAGGCAGTCTACTATGTTGTCAAGCACTGTTCCATCCCTTTTAATCTTCACCAGAGCCCTACAAGATAGGTATGCTTACCCCTATTTTACTGAAGAGGAAATTGGGGCTCAGAAGGGTTACGCTGAAATTGCACAGCTAGTGAACTCTGACACTAAGCCCAGACCCAGGCCCTTTCCTCTCCACCAGGCTGCCTATCACTGGGCATGTGGGGCTCTGCTGGGGACTCCGAGGGCTGGCAGAGCTGGCTGCCTAGCCCTCCAGCGTAGCCTGTACTCCTCACCAGGTGGCATGATGTCGATCTTCCTCATGGGCTGCTACGACCCTGGCAGCCAGAAGTGGTGCACCGTCACCAAGTGTGCAGGCGGCCACGACGACGCGACGCTCGCCCGCCTGCAGAAGGAGCTGGACATGGTAAAGATCAGCAAGGTGAGGACAGGACCAGCGTGGCCCCAGCCTCTGGACTGGCCGTCATTACTGAGACAAGACTGCAGGTATCATCTGTCTCCCCAGAGAGGAGAGCTGTTGCTTTGCCATGGGAGCAGTACAGGCCCTCAGAGTCTCTGAGTGCCTACCTTTTGGAGTAGTCAGAGGACATTGTCCTGAATGCCCTCTAGGCCACGCCCCAGCCGAGCAGGAAGGATCATGCGGCATGAGGGGCACCTCTTCTCAAATCCCATCACCAAGAAAGATTAAAGCCTTGTTCCAGCTTGGGAACAGCCCAGGACAGCATCTTTTCTCTTCCAGGACCCCAGCAAGATACCCAGCTGGCTGAAAATCAACAAGATCTATTATCCTGACTTCATTGTCCCAGACCCAAAGGTACCAGCCCTGTGGCATGGGGTGCTCCAGGCCACAAAATTAGCTTGCAAGTTCACTAGTGCCACAGAGAAGCCATTTCAACCCAGTGGTGGGGATCTGGATTATTCAGCCAAATGACAGGCATAGGGGGACCAGTCAATACTGAGGAATTGTCATCAACGGAATGTTACCATCCCCTAGTCACAGAGGGTCTGTTCTAGAAGCAACCTGGCACAATCCCTCCTGGTACTGACAGAGAAACTGAGGACCAGAGAAGAGGCAGGACTTCCCTAAGGTCATATAGCAGCAGCAGTAGGACTAGAACCCAGGTTTCCTGTTAGCCCAGTCCTCGTTTGGTTTTGACTGTTCTGTGTTGCCTGTGGCTGGTTGGGAGGTGTTTTCTTAACCAGTGACTAACCTGCCCATCTTGCTGCTGACAGAAAGCTGCCGTGTGGGAGATCACAGGGGCTGAGTTCTCCAAATCTGAGGCTCACACAGCTGATGGCATCTCCATCCGATTCCCTCGCTGCACTCGAATCCGTGATGATAAGGACTGGAAATCTGCCACTAACCTCCCCCAGCTCAAGGTGCCAACTCTTTGGCTGTGTGTGTCCTTCCGCCTGTTATCCCAGCCTTGGACCCTTGGGCTTCTGGCCTGTCCACATGTCCGCTGTCTTCTCCTTTGTCCCACTCCACTGAGGCAGGGCAAGGAGGGCCAGTTAGAAAGGGAGCCCAGACGGTTGCAGGGCCGGGAGCAGCAGCACCAGGCCTCCCACTGCCTCCGAGTGCAGTAGGCCCCGCTGAGCAGCCGTGTCCTAGAAAGTAACAGCTCCCTCGCTCTCACAGCCTCCTTGTGAGGGGTTGGCCCAGGTGAGAGTCCCTACTCTACTGACAACTGAGGTGCAGAGCTTTGCACCCTGATTTCTCAGGATACAGAGCCAAAGTTTGGGAAAGCGCCCAGGAAGCCAGTTCCTTTTGCTGCCATCATTTTTTCTCACTTCTCCTCCCCAGACACATGCACCTCAAACATCACACAGACTGCCTCTGGGGGGGGCCTGGGGCCGGGAAGAGAATGATACCCTGCTCCGTTTCCGTCCTCAGGAACTGTACCAGCTTTCCAGGGAGAGGGCAGACTTCACTGTAGTGACCGGAGATGAGGGGAGCTCCAGCGCAGGGGGCAGCAATGGGGAGAACGGGGGCACCTTGGGGCCTGCTGTGTCCCGCAAGGCCCCCACAGCTTCCTCCAACAAACCCTCAGCCAATGCCAAGAAGGCCGAAAGGAAGCTCAGTAGCCCCAACAGCAAAGGCGGTAAGGGAGGGGCTGGGGGATGAAGAGGGTAGTGTGAGGGGCAGAAGGCCCATCCCCTTCCCCTGGGGAACCAGGAGATCTAAGGGCAGGGACCCACTCTGGGATCATGTGATTCTCTGCGTCCGCTGCAGCTAGCATTGCCTGCATCCCTGTTGTGTGTCCCGCCACGGGCCAGAAGCTGCTCTATTAGGCACCCTGTGTCTGCTAAGTAAACCTGAATGGCAGTACCCTGGGAGGGCGGGTCTGACCTGGGGAGAAAGGCATTTGAACTAAAGGCTTAGTGTTAACTCTTCCCTCTCCTGTCACCCACACTCGTGGCAGAGGAAATGCTTAGCCCTTCCCTTTGCTGCCCTGGCTTCAGGGACCATTATCAGCTCCCTCATCCTTGCTTTAGTTCTTACCCTTAGCTCTCTTCCTCAGGCGACAAGCTGACTGCAAAGCCTTCCCCTGTGAAAGTGGGAGAAAAGCCAACCCTGAAGCCTTGTCCCATGAAGGTGGGAGAAAAGCGGAAGGCTCCGGACGAGGCTCCGTGCCAAGCAAAGGTGAGGGTGAGAACAGCAGTGCACCAGGGGCTAGTTTGGCCCAGAGCCTCATGTCCCCAGCCCTGCAGCCCGTGAGCTTTGAAAGAAGATGAGCAGAAGTGTTCTCAGGGACACTGGCTAAGCCCTTCCCCTCCTGCAGCTGCTCCTCCGTCCTGGGCAGGGCCAGCGGTGCTGCTGCTCCACCCTGTGCCCTGTTATTGCCTTGCAGAGGCGGCCAGCCAGCAAGCAAAGAGGAAGGAGAGCTGTGCCAGCAGGCAGGAGATAGAACAGCCAGCCTAGCTGAGAGAGGCTGCAGGAACTGCCCAGCTCCTGGCCCCAATCACAATTGACATTAAAGGGGAGAAAGCCCACTCTGGGTGTGGGAGTACAGCAGTGTGAGTTTGTGATTGGGCAGGACCAGAGCCAGCCAGCCAGGAGTGGGGAGAGAGGGCACTGGCTTGGTGACTGTCTTCCACCTTTATACGCGCTCGTCAGCCTTTGATTTAGCCACATCTGTTGAGCACCTACAGAAGCCGGGAACTAGGCTGAGTACTGGCCCAACCCCGCGGGAACTGTTACCCCGCAGGGCAGATAGAGAAGTAAACACAGGACCACTGTACACTGTGATCCCCTCCCACCCCCACCAGAAGTCTGGCAGCTCAGGCCCTGCACCAGTTCCCAGCAGGCCTGCAGAACCTTTCCCATCCCTCTTCCTCCCTGATGCCCTTGCGCCCATTCAGAATAATGAGCAGGGCTCTGACCCTCCCTGCTCTCAGTCTAGCCTAGTTCTGCAGAGGGGACTTGGCTCTCTCTCCAAGGAATATCACTGAGTCTGGGGCATTGGTCTGAGAGCCACTGGATGGCTCTTGAGGAATATACTTGTCCCTTCTCCAGAGAGCTGTTGGCACCATCAGGGTTCCACACGTGGAGCCCGTCCCCTCCTTTGCCCTTTCCCCTAGGCGGGTGGAGGGGAGTGTCAGTCCTGTGCCACTTGGGAGTGGCTGGAGGATGGGGGTTTGATTGCCTCTCTCCAGTAGACTCCACTAGCGTTCTGGCCTCTGGGTTCCCTAGTCTCTGCCCCTGGCTTTAGCCCCCTTCCTCTCTGTGCTGTACTGATCTGGGCGGAGGCCTCACATCCAGCCCAGGCCCTTCTGGCCCCACCTGACCCTTCTGCACTTGCAGGTGCTGCTGGACATCTTCACTGGGGTGCGGCTCTACCTGCCGCCCTCCACACCAAACTTCAGCCGTCTCAGACGCTACTTTGTGGCATTCGACGGAGACCTGGTACAGGAATTTGACATGGCCTCCGCCACACATGTCCTGGGCAGTGGGGACAAGAACCCCGAGGCCCAGCAGGTCTCTCCAGAGTGGATTTGGGCATGCATCCGGAAACGGAGACTGGTAGCTCCCTGTTAGGACAGCTGTCTTCCCTTTCCCTCAAGCTACCCTGTCCCCTTCCACATTACTGGACTGACTCAGGCAGCAGAGGAACAGTGTAGGGTGGGGATGGACTTTCTTCCCCAAGCAATGCGTCTTCCAAAACCCACCAACTGTTCATGGTCATCTTCTGGACCATAAATTAGTTGCTATGGGTCCCACAAGTGAAATCCGTTTCTCTTGCTGGTTTAAATAGATCTTTCAGATCTGGGTGCTGGTTTTGTCCTCTTTTTTTCTTTAAAAAGCAGCTTAGTTTAGGCGGGGGGTTAATAAATACCTTGCAGTTGTCGCTGTCCTCTCACCACCTGCACCCCCTGTAATTTCCCGGGCAGTTAAAGAAGTGAAGGCTGCATTACTAAACTCTGGTCACAAAGCTCACCCTTGCAGAAGTCTTCTCACTCACCCCCTTTATGTCCTGGCTTATCTTAAAGTTGTATTTAGAAGACTGCCATCAGAAATCCATTTTTTATTTGGAAAACTTGTATTCAGCCTGGCTTCTTTTGCCAGGAATGAAGCCTCATTTGAAAGAAAACAAAATGAACTTTTATGACTTGATTCTCTATTTTCCTATTACAATCTGTGAGTCCCTGGTTTGGAGGGGAGGGGACTAGGATCAGGTAGGAAAATAGGGCCTTTGTGAAGAGGAGGGATGTTATTTGGGCTACTTCTCTGGGGGTGATAGTACCGCTCCAGGAGGCTCTCCCTCCTCAAAATCTAGAAACAAGACTGCTCTTTAAGAATAAAAACCTTTACCTGAGGACAAATAGACACTGCCTGCTTACAAACAATGGCTCCTGAGGATGATTTATTTGAATAGAAGACAATTTAGTATAAATGTAAGTGGTGTTCAGTAGAACTTTCTGTGACAGTGGAAATATCCTGAAAGTCTGTATTGTCTAATGTGGTAGCCACTAGGTACATATGGCTGTTGAGCACTTGAAAGGTGAGGAACTGAATTTTTTATTTCAAATTTAAGTATTGGACAACACAAATGTAGGCAGACCCAGTTCAAATCCCAACCCTGAAATGTAATAGTTCTGTGATGTTAGCAAGTTACTTAACATTTGAGCCTCCACTTCCCCAGGTAGAAGTGGGATAGGAATTACACCTAAATGTGTAGAGTTAAGCGAGGTCCAGTACGTTAAGGCTTAGCACAGAGCCTAGGACACTGTTATCAAGAGTGGAGAAAACCAACACTGGTGTGTATGTCCAGATCCTACTCAGGAGAGAGGGCCCTGCCTGTGACATCAGCACTCTCATCAGTCACCATCTGGTTAGAGCCTTTTAGTAGCTTTCATGTCCTACTTCTGTTGACTCCTGTCCGTTCTCCTTATTATCAACAAACTAGCAGGCTTACTTGCCCATCTGCTGTGAGTTAGGTTAATGGGACTCGCCCTCTGAAACCTACTTGAGTATCTAGGCCTGTGAGATCAAGGACCACTGCCTCCCTCCGACTGGTGCGTTCACCCAAGGTGATAGCTGTGAGGCCACTTGCCAGTCAGCTTGGAGGCTAACTTTAACCCAACTGGCCTCCACCTACTGTTTAAAGGGCGGGGGGCGGGGGTGTCCTGACTCCAGCCTGGGACATTTGCTGTTTTGAATAGGCACCATTCAGTCTGGCTTCAGTATTGAGAATCAAGACACTCTTTATTCCATCCTCTGTGGAGACAAAAGCTTCTCCTCCTTTGAGCAATGACCTACATTGATTTACATCCCCCTCTCCAGCCTCAGGCCAAGCAGCTGGACAGGCAGGAGAAAGCTCACCCCTTGGGACCCTGCCAGAGGACACCGCACTGCCCTCTCCGGCCCGGCTGACAGACCCAGCCCTACCTGCCCTCCTTACTGGTTGCTTACATGCAAGGGGCACCCTCACAGCACCGGGGCTCGGCAGCTGCAGGTGATCATTTCACTAACAAGCTCCGCCCCTGGGTCCTTCTAGGTCTTCCTGCGGACTGCCTTAAATTCAGTCATGTCTTGTGTATTTCCTTCCACTCTTTTCTGATGCGTGTTCTTTGCTTCTGAGATTACAGTTTATATGCGGCCTTGTATCCTTGCATGTGTTTCCACATGACCCTAAGCAACCTCCCCAGCACAATGCTAGAGGCCTGACCTCTTTGGAGCCTTTTTTTACATGCCGCTGGCTGGCAACAGGCAGAGGTATTGCTGGGTGCTGAACAAAGGTCAGCCGTCTGTAGCAGCTCAGCCAGACCTTTACACCCTTTTGGCCAGATGCCTTCCTCTTCCCTCCTCAGGCACAGGGCAGATACGCACATAATCTTGTTTTCCCAAGGCCTACAGTCTCGGGACTCCTCTCCCCTCCCTTTGGGCACCTGGTCAGGCAGGGAGAGAGGTACAGGCCTGTGCACACCCAGCAGTTCACCCGTGAGGCTAGGCCAAGCTTCTCTGAGCCACACTCCCAACAACCCATACCACAGCTGTTATCTAGAAGCTACCACGTCTCCTAGGGTAGCCTGAGGACCTAACTAGAAACACTGGCTGCCCTAGATTCCTTTCCACCCAGATCTTTAAGGCTCCCTCTGCCAAATCAGCGTGAATGCCTGAACTCACCTGGTGGTTCTTCCTATCTGACCTTGGGATTCCTTCTTTCAGCCCCCATGTTCTAGGCTGACCCATGGCCTCTCCCACAAACTAGCTGGAGGTCTTGGGCAAGTCACAACACCACTAAGCTCCAGTTTGCTCATCTGTAGAACAGGAATATCTTGCCCAAGGTGACATGGCTCAAGTGTCTCCAAAAACAGTACAATCTCTCAAGAGACTGCCTGTGTGCATGTGGCGTGGGACTAGCCTGTGGTTTATCGATTCTTCTGTCAGTCTTAACTATCAGACCTCTGGCATCCTTACACCAGATAGGACAGGCATCTATATTGAAACTTTATTACAAAATTATAAAGCAGAGCTCTGTAACAAAAAAATACATATTTGGGTTACTTTAACACCCAAGTCAGTCATAAAATCTCAATATAAGCCACTTGAAGTAACACATTCACATCCAAAAAATGTCAACAAATTTATACAATATATATTGAGCACTAATTCCTGTACAGCTTATTCATATTAGTTTGGATCCAACTATTCCAATGTATTATGAACCAGTCAACTGTCCGAGTCTTTTAATACAAGTCTCAACCGAAATCTCAGCAATCACAGCAAAAGTCAAGGATAATTAGATGTTTCCATGATAATTAAAACCAAGGATCCATGAGGGGTAGCAGGAGGATTCAGGGATAAAAATCAAGTTTTCTACCTGGATTTTTAATTCACTGGAATGAGATATCTTGGAACTCCCAATTTTTTTATTTGATGTAACAATAAAGAAGTTACAAAAAACCATGGTTGTTCAATACCTTTTTTTTGCTAAATGGAAACTTTCACCAAAAGAGGTTAAAAGATTTAAAGGCAAGTTCTTTCTCCAAGAGGAATAAATGACATCAGTTTCTTAATTCTTCCTGAGGTTACTAACCAGCCATTGGGATTTATTTTCTGTTCACGTCTAGCAGGGAATTTGGGGTGTGAAAGGGGAAGAGCGGGAAGGGAGGCAAGGCCTCAAACAGAGAAAGCAAGTTACGAATAGGCAGAGAGCCAGCTTCTGCCCTGAAGTTATTGCTAAATATTAACAGAGTTGCATATCTATAGACCTGTTTCACAGTGGAATTGAGGAGTAGCTGAATGAATGGCCCTTTGCTAAACTGGTAGGCATTGTAAACTATAGTTATTTACTGTCCAGCAGAAAGGTGATTCCCCCAACTCCTACAAAGGCTGTGACCCAGAATCAAATCATCCAGGACTTGGTGTAATGTTGAGGTAAAGTAGCCCAGCGTTCAGCTGACAGTTACTTTCTGAAATTACTTCATTTCCCGAAAGGGTTAGTGGTTGATGATGGAGAGAAGCGTTAAGTATGTACGTCCCCTTAGAGGTTTCCCACTGCCTTCCAAAGTTATGACTGGTTCTTTTAGTCTGAGAGATCTTGGTTGCACACCCATGTCACCCAAAGTTTGTTTAAGGTTTGCATAGTTCATCCATTGGCAATGGAAGACACACCGCTTTTCTGATAGCATGAGTGTTTTGTGCTTGGCTGAGCTTCTCCTGCAGACTTCTCCTTAAGCCCTTTGCTCCTTCAATGGTGTCAAGATCCTAAGTGGGCTCAAAACATCATCTACTCATTACATGGTCCTTCCTAAAGGCCCTAGAGAATGCTTTTTCCTGACCTGCCCCCAAATTAGTAGACTGAGAAAGGAAATGGGAGTAGGGGCTCCCCACCAAGCTGTGGAATTAAGGACTTTGGCTGCCTGTTCAAGGACAGAACCCAGCCTCCTCCAGTACCTTCTGATACCTCTTAGGTGCTCTGTCCTACATGTTTGGTCACTAGGACCTTCATGAGAAGCCAGGCTAGAGAAGAGCAGGTTCTCTGCCTAAGTCCCTAAACCTTCCATATGAAGCCAGTGAGACCAAGCTTAGAAATTCCAGGGCAAAGAGATGGACTTCATTCTCAGGGGAAAGTGTTAGTTTAAGACTCCTGCCTGTTGGAAAAGGAGGATCAGAAGTCAAATTTAAGCAGAAAGCCACTCATTTCCTCCCAAAGCTTTCCCTTCCCTCCTGAACTAAAAGTAAGGATGGTGCCAAGTCAAGCCCTAAGAGAGAAAGCAGCAGAGATGACCCATGCACCACCCTCACACACAGACTGGAATTTCCCAGCAGCTTCAGAGCCAGACGCTTTGTTGGCTCCCAAGGTGGGGTCAGGAGACTGACAGCTTCCAATCCCAGCACGTAAGGAAGCAACTCAACAACTTTCAAATTCTTCAGTAGCATTTGTGTTTCATTTCTCACCAAAGAAAAGTTTCCATTAAAAAAACACTCATTGCTATTGCGTCAATTCTGATTCATGGTGACCTGACAGGACAGAGAAGCATGCCCCCGTAAGGTTTCCAAGGCTGTAAATCTACGGGAACAGATTGCCAGGTCTTTTCTCCCACGGAGCGGCTGGTGGGTTTGAACCGCCAACCTTTCAGTTAGCAGCTGAGTGCTTAACCACTGTGCGACCACGGCTCCTTAACCCTGAATAACTTTCAAATTTTTCAGTAGCATTTGTGTTTCATTTCTCACCAGAGATAAGTTTACTGGTCCAAAATTCTGTCGTATGGAGAACCACTATTGGTCCGGTAAGCTAACATCTTTTTGGTCCGAAGAAACAAATGGATTTTAGGCAATATAGCAAGAGACTTTAGCAAAGGTAGGTTGAAGCACAGAAAGCCAGAGGGACCAGAAATAAATGCAGGTGTGCTGGGGAGGAAAGAGAACCATTTCTAGCAGGGCTTCTGATGGGTGAAACACAGAGGCGAGTTTCCGGGGGGACGGATGGGGAACAGGAGGGAGGAAGGGTGAAACTGCACGAGAAGGTGTCTGGGTTCTCAGAGGAAGGGAGAAGACAGGTCCAAGTTCTGAAAAGTCTCTGTTCATCAATTACCATAATTATCACAAGATCGTTGAAACAGGGTCTTGCCCATGGAATTTGTACCAGTCCCACTGGCCTCAGGGGCTCTGTCGGCCACCAGGTGCAACCAGTGACAACATGGGCACACCCAGGACTGCCCAGGAGTGACATGGCATCTTTGCCTGCCCTGGTCTTGGGAACCTTCTGCAAGTTCTCTTCTGTTAGCATGCTCCTCTGCAAGCTGGCCAACCCTGAGCCCAGACACTCAACGCCGTGTCCCTGTAAGGCACTGAAGAAGCCGGCACAAGCCCTCAGGATCGGAAGACGTGCACAGCTCGGATCACGTACTGCCGGCAGATGGGACACTCATTCATGCGCTTGCCACACTTAGTACAGGTCACCATGTGGCCACACTCCAGCAGAACACAGTCAATGGGTGAATCCATGCAGATCTTACATAGGTTCTCCTCCAGGCCAGGTGACGCTGCTCCCTCTGTACAAACACACAGGGCAGGAAGAAAGGGGCAGAAGGAAAAGTAAGGAGATTGTCTAAGTGTCTGGGGCGGTACGCGTACGGAGGTGAGAAAGGGCGGGCACGCTGAATAAACCCCTGAATCCACACACTTTCCTCAAGCAGAGCTCCTCCAAGAAAACGTTTCCTCAGTGACCAACCCCAGTGCTTGTGTAAGCCACACCTCCTCCCAGAGGGCTACAGATGTGAAGAGTACAGTACGTGTGCAGATCAAATACAAACACATCCCAGAGCATGAGAACTAAGGCAAAGTCCTCAAAGCTTAAAAGAAATAATTTTCAGACAACTGAGGCTGTTATATAGTGAGTGGCACTTAGGGACTCATTATCCCCTGAGGCAGAACATGCTGAAAAGATAAAAGTGGTTCAGAAAAGTTTAGATATAAACGGAACCAGAATAGATGGTTCATTAAGGTTCATGAGACATATTTGTAAACATATAACCAATTTAATAAAGTCAAGGATCATGGAGTCCCACAAATGACCCTGGCTCCATCTGAGGAGACTTCCTGGGTGAAGGGCCCAGCAGAAATCACTGCTCCCTCTTCTGTACTCCCCCACCCAACTATAGCCAGCCCCCGTGACTGCTTATCCCACTGGATTACAATTTTGAGTCTGCCTACTTATCTCCCTCACTCAACAAATTTAATCAATTTTCACAAGTATATACTTAGCATTTGCTATATGCTCTGAGGTCAGATATTCATCTTCCAATCCCCAAAACTCCAGTCACATGACAGCTTCTCTCTAAATGTCTGATAAATGAACTTCTCCAAGGAAATGGTAACAGCTAATATTTACTAATGCTTACTATGTGCCAGGCAGCGTCCTAAGAGCTTCGCATGTATTAAAATTGCATCCTCACAAAGACTATGAAGTAGGTACTCTTGTTACTCTCATTTTACAAATGAGGCAACTGAGGCCCGAGTTAAGTGGCTTGCCCAATGGCACACAGCAAGTAAGTAGAGGAGCCGGGATTCAAACCAGGGCTTCAAACTGGTTTGTTCCAGCTCAAACCACTGCTGAGATTTGCATTTCTAACCTAGATATACTGAATCAGAATCTACATTTTAACAAGATCCTCAGGTGATTCTTACGTATAAATTTTGAGAACCACTATTCTACTAGTTATTCTCAGAATTGGTACCTAACCAGCAGCATTAGCATGGCCTGGGAACTTGTTAGAAATGCAAGTTTTCAGCAGGGGTTCCAACTGGACCGAACTGGTTTGAAGTCCTGATCCAAACCCAGGCAGACTGCCTATGGACAGTTCAGCCTCCTGGGTAGGTGCCCTGAGCAGGGACTATCCAGCTAGTATTAACTTCCCAGTGCCTGGAAAGCATCATTAAATATTGATCAGCTGGTGGGGGTGGAGGAATACAGTGGGCATGGCCAGTGGCTATCTGGAAACAGGAAACCCTTCTGGTCCAAAAAGCCCAATCATCCCCAACCTGTCTTAAATGGTAGCCTGAACCAGGCGGTCATAAATGGGGGACTCACACCTGATCACTTCTACCATTTGGGGCTTGGCAGCTCCACAGCAGAATGATCCTGTACCCTGTTTCTTCTGAACTTTCTTCACCTCTTTTCCGTCCTATTCAAGAAGTCAAGAAACACTTCCCATAGGAGACAGGCTGGCTATGTAGGAGGTAGGCTGGCTATGAAAGGCAGTGAAACCTACTTACCTCCTTTGAGGAGCTGTTGGCCCTAACAGGGAAGGTTTCAAAGGAATGAACTATACAAATACCTAAGATGAGCTGGAGCTATTTATAGAATCCCAACGACTTACTACTTCTCTCAGGAGTAACAATAAACTCATGCACTCAGATGCCCAGCACTTTCCCAAGAAATCAGAAAAGGAAAGGCATCAGAGTGGCTTAGCCTGATCTTACTACCAGCTGGGTCTAGAACTCCAAAAGGTTTTGAGGAAGTGAGAAAAGTTCAACTCTCAAGAATTCAGACATAAAACTCTTGCCCCATTCTGAGCAAAAGGGCATTTTACTAACAAATTTGAGAAGTCTTCTGAAAGTGTCAGAATGCTTTCTAGGCCCCACCACTACTGTAAGAAAGGGAGGAGGCGCATGACCATATAAGCTTGAGGCTTTCACAAGCTAACAACACATTTTAGAAAGATCCAGTCAGGATCCCTGCAATGTGGCTGGGGGTACCCCAGGCCCAGTGGGGGTCTTTCACACACAGCCAGGTGTGCAGCAGTGGAGCCAGGATACGCATGTTGTGCCCAGAGAGCACGACACGTGACACCTTTCCTGACTTGCTGCCTGGGTCTGGACAAACGAGGCTCTGTCAGGCCACCACCTTATTTTTCGGTTGCTATCGGCAGCTGGTAGACATCCCAAGTGATTTCCATGAAGGTGTGCAGACCAGACCTGAGTGAACACCAGGGAAAGGAGTGCCCTGGCACCAGGACTATGCAGGATGAACTGAGTGTAGCACAGGCCCCCACTCACTTTGCTGTGAGAATTGCTATAAATGCTGGCTTCTGAGCTCGCAGCAGAGACCTGCACCCAGGTCTGCCCCGAGGTGTGCTGCTGCTCTTCCTCCTTCATGGGCGGCGGGGGTGCTGAGACTTTCTAAAGGTGCTGAGAAGCCCTGGTTCTACCGAATTTCCCCACACACCCTCTCTTTGTGATACCCATATGCTCAGAACTCTTGGCTGTTAACAGGGATCAGGGTTGCAGGAGGTGAAAGACAGAAAAGCTGAGCCTAAGCCCATTCTCAAAAACAACTACATACCATTCTGATCTTCAGCACCACACACTGAAAAGAAAAGAAAAAGAAGACATCTGAATACGCTCTGACACCATGGCATGAAGTGAGTCTCTCACCAGCCCGAGCTCATTTCTGACTACTCCCTGCTGAGAGCCCAGACACACACTCACCCTCCTTATTCGCTCTACGTGCTGGGAACCCTCACACAGCAACCGCTGCTGGCGCCTCCAGTCTAGTCCTGGAAGAAGGTATTCCACTGGTTTGCATGAACAAAACTGTCAAACAGGAAGGATACTGTATACACACAATATCCTTTTCTATTGCTTTTGAAGCCAACATTAAAGAAGGAAGGAACCATCAGGCCGTTTCAGGCAGTGTGAAGTTCACAAGTGGAGCCAGCTCTTTAATTCCCCAGCTCCTCACAACCCTCGGAGACCCCGGGACAATCCCAAAGTGAAGACCTGAGTCCCTGTCTCAGTCGGTCTCAGTCTGTGATCATGTGTGTAGCCAGGCTTCCCTCAACCGGGATGAGCTCGAGCTACTGGTAGAGGAGAGCCTGAAATCCTAGCATGCAAGGCTGCTCTGCGGGAGCTAAACCAGTTTAGGATGAGAGGGGAAGATGAGGTTTCTGTGCTGAAATAATTTTTGGAACTGCCGAGCTCAAAACAGCTAAACACATTTGTTTTCCACAGGACTTTTCTGCCTTTAACATAATAATATTTACCATGAATCAGTAACAGAGGGACATACCATGTATTTTTTCCCAAACTCATTTGACCACAGACCCAGGCATTTTAGTGGGCATCTCCTGAAAATGGTACCATGCAAAATGTTTTGGAAAACAAAAGGAAAAGTCCGAGTACAGGCAGAACAACAGATATATTCCCCTCACACCGTGTGTGCTAAGATTCATTTTCTTATCTCCCAACTATTTAGAGTAAGTATGGTTAGAGGTTGTAGTGAATATGGAGAAAGTGACGTAAGTGGGAAAGGCTATGGATTTAGAAACCAGGAAATCCTCAGTTTAAGTTCAGGCTCCACAATAAATGGGGGATCTAATAATACCTATTTCATAGGTTACTCTGAGGATTAAATAAACATATAAAGTGCCTGGACCAGTCCTGGCACTCAAACCAAAAATGACAGCTATTATTAGATGGTGCGAATGTGTAAGGTGACTCCCCTTCTCAGCTAAGAGCATGGAAACTGAGCCAGGTCAATGACGTTATGCTTTAGAGTGACAGCAAACACTCGGGAACTCTGTAGCTGCCACCTAGGTACAACCCCTTACCCAGGTGCTGCAGTCCTTTCTGGTCTTTGTACAGCCATGTCACCCTCTCCATCAGCTCCCACTTCTCACAGCAGCCCTTGTAGTTGACGAAGTTGCGAGCCAGGATCTCCTTCAGCTGCCGCACAGTCAGCGCTTCAATGTCCTCCACGTTGGTCAGGTCAGACAGAGAGGCCCTCCGGCCTGGGACAAAGCTGTCCTCTGAGTCGATGGACTGCAAACGCAGAGATGAGAACAGTGGACTCAGTGCTTCCCTACCCAAGCTCTCTCTCCAAGGGCCCAGAGCACTCATCACAGTTCTTTTGGTGACTGACCTCAAGGAGGGGAGTAACAGGCAGGGTAGCTAGCATGGCGCTTTGCACTGCAAAACAAACCACAGTCTTTTCTAGACCTACAGTCCTGTGCTCAGGCACTGAGAGCCACAAACCAACGAATCATGTGAGATAGAAGGAGCACCGGATTGAGTAGGATGGCCCTAATGTTGAATCCTGATAGCTCCACTAACTAAGGCTAAATAATAATATTGGGCAAGTTGCTTACGTCTCTGAACCTGGTTCAGATCAGCAGTACCGACCACACAGGGTTCCTGTGAAGATTAAATGTGGTAGCATGTAAAATCCCCTAGCATGGGGCTGGCCTTCCTCTCTCTTCTGGAGAATTCTGCTCTTTCACAGAAGAGGCAGATGTCCCTGGCAAGCATTCCTCCATATATAACCTCGACCACAGCTTTCTGGCCCTGATGGCTGTGCTCCTGGACTGGCCCCTGCCAGGGCTGAGACCTGAAGTCCCTCTCAGCTTTCCTCCTGATCATTTGACCTCCTTCCCCTGACAATGGTGACTGTGTGCTAGAAGCAGGAGGAAAGAAGATTTGTACAGCAGCGCCAGGAGCGTGCCCTCTGGCAGCTCTTAGAAAGTCAAGAGAGTGGAAACACAACGGGCCCTGGTGCCCACTGTGGCCTCACAGTTCCTCACTAGCACACTGACAGCCTGAGGGGTTCATCTGGAACACTACCACTAGCCTCCACCCCTGAGAAGGGAATTCAGAAGGACTATCACCACAGACAGAGCCTTCTCTCTCCACTCAGTTGGCTGAGAGGTTCCTTCCGACACTCTTAGAGTACAAGTGAAAGGACAAAGGCATAGGCACAGACCGAGCAGAGGCCCCACCTGGGTCTCGTCCTCAGCAGGTGCTCTGGCTGTGCTCCCCAGGTAGACGGGTTCCTCTTGGTCCTGAGACACATGGCCATTGGCCTGTGGGAAGAGAAAGGTGCCATCACATCCAAAGAGATGAGGGAATTTTCATAGCATGGGCCCCTTTCTAGCTCACACTATATCCAAAATGTATTCCCATCTCCTCCAAAATAGTACAAAAGCATGCTCTCTAATACTAACTTTGTGAGACAGAGAAGCAGTAAGAATAGACTTCAATAGATAAAAGGCTGGCCTCTAGAACAAAAGTGCATTAACTCTGCCCACCATTATGATGGCATCGGCCACCACCCACTGTCAATTTAGTCTCAGCCTGAACGCTCCAGGTGAAAGGAAGATCCATCCCACTGTGGACCTACTCTCTAACTGCCATAGATTTTTCTTGACAGTGACCCAAAGCTGCCCTCCCTATAACTTCCACCCCTCAGCCCCTGGTTCTGCTCCTCAGACCAACGTCCACGGTTGTTCCCATACTGTTCATACTGCATCTTCCTCCCCGATCCACACTAAACTTCCCTGCTTCCCTCAACTGAACCTCATGAGACAAAGTTTCCAGACCCTCACCACTCTATTCCCCTCTCTTCTGGCTAGTCACTGTTCTCACCTTCAAGAAATGTGCTCCAACCAACAGGGCACACTATTACAAAGGGTTGTGTTAAAATCTGGCCACTAAATTATTTTAATGCATCCCAGAATCTATTAGCCTGACTTGACAAGACAATGGCTGTCCTACTCTGCTTAGAAGTCTAACTTCTCAAAAAGTTCTTCCTGGGTTTTCCTTTAGAAAGTTTACCAAAGAGCAGTCAGAACTGTGAGCACCCCAGCCCCATCACCACTCAAGCCACAAACCCCTTACCTGGCTCATCACCCACTGCTGCCTCCCGGCAAAGGGCCTGGTGTGAGCTCAGAGCAAGGAGACGTCTGACCTCATGGGCCTTTTCTACTAGACCCTGGAGCAGCAGTAAAGGGACAACCTGGGGAAAGCAAAGTCACCCTCTGGCCCCTACCACCCTCCTGAATCAGGATGCATAATACAGAGCTAACAATGGAAATGAAATGCAGAAATAACCAAAAAATGCCAAGTGATGCTAAGATTACACATAGAGCACGCATCTGGGATGCATCTCAAACGAGCCTTCCTGACACCTCTAGTTCTCTCTTATTTTACTTAGATGTGATGCCCACTGGCCTTTTGGATAGTGTCACTTTGGAGATATCGAAAGCCTTTCAGAACCTAAACTGTTCCTAAGAAGACAGCTTGTGTATGTCTTTTTTTCCCTAGAAACCGAAACTGGATTTCCTGCTACAAAGCATGCTCTTGTCTTTCCAGTTTGCCCACTGGCTAAATCAATATCTACAACTACTATCTGTTCACAGTATTGCTTATTCCACATACCTTCTTCCTTAGCAACTATTGCTAAGGCATTAAAGGTAAAGGAGAGCGCCCCGGTGGACAATATTTTGAGGTGGTCTGCATTCTAGGTGCAGCTCACGTATGGACTTCTCAGGTCGCCTCACACAAGTTACTTAGCATCCTCATGCTGGTTTTTCCTGCTTGCAAAATGCAGATCCCACCAGAACAGGGCATGTGAGCTGACACTAAGGCCCTCTGAAAACCTCAGAGGAAAAGTACTCAATAAGATCTGGTACCTAGCATGACCTGTAGGTGTGATCTGGAACTTTCTGGATAACGAACTACCCCCTTCATTGAAAATCCCACTCAATGGTTCTGCAGGAACAAATAATTTCCTCAAGTTCCTCTCCTGGCTCCCCATAAACAAAGAGGAGTGCTCCAAAGAACCAAGGAAAGGGAGGAAGCCACAGGGGGAGCTAAAATCTATCCAGCAGACAGAGCCCCAGAGCTTAGGAAGAGTTAAACTCCAGCTGGGGAGAAAACATGCTCAAGCCAACAAAGGAGTTAAGTGATTTCACTGCAGCTAAATTATGCTATCACACTGGCCTTTATGCCTCAGTGCCCGTCAAGAGCTGAATCAGGGGCCCAGTCCTGGCAAAGGACGTGATCATAAACAAGGGGCAGCAGCCATCCACACTGGTTATAGACTAGCTCTGAGGAGCTCCAAGCTCTTTATACAGTGAAACCTGTGAGAGCCGGAACTCAATGGGACTGCCTTGCTTTTCTGGGTCTCACGAGTTTTCCACCTTTGACAGGGTGTGGTCTTACCACTTTTCTATCGCTCTCTATTAGTAGAAAATATTTGAGTTTCCTTCTCTGACAGGTTTCCACCCTTATACAGGTTCCGGCTTTCTCAGGTTTTATACGTAGTATCACACTATTCAGCCCTGCCAATATCCTAAGCAAGAACAAAAGTGGGCTGGCATTACTAACCCCACCTCACTGTTGAAGCTCAAAGTTTGTCCAAGGTGACCAAGGGGTCAGTGACAAAACTGGATGTGGAAACCAGACCTTCAGATCCTAATTCCCTCACTATCGTGCAAGCCATATAAATAACAGAGTCATCTATTAGGCACTGAAGTATGTCTCCCCTCTACCCCTTACACGCACTGGGCAAATCTGCTGCAAAAGATCTCTTTAAAGTGCTAAAAAGCAAAGATGTCACTTTGAGGACTAAGGTGCACCTGACCAAAGCCATAGTGTTTTCAATCGCCTCATATGCATGCGAAAGCTGGACAATAAATAAGGAAGACTGAAGAATTGGTGCCTTTGAATTACGGTGCTGGCGAAAAATACTGAATATCCCATGGACAGCCAGAAGAATGAACAAATATGTCTTGGAAGAAGTACAGCCAGAATGCTCCTTAGACGCAAGGATGGCGAGACTTCATTGCACATACTTTGGACATGTTATCAGGAGGGACCAAGTCCCTGGAGAAGGACATCATGCTTGGTAAAGTAGAGGGTCAGCAAAAAAGAGGAAGACCCTCAATGAGATGAACTGACACAGGGGCTGCAACAATAGGCTCAAACACAGCAAAGATTCTGAGAATGGCGCAGGACCGGGCAGTGTTTCATTCTGTTGTACATAGGGTCACTATGAGTCAGAACCGACTTGACAGCACCTAACAACAACATCCCTTACACAATGGGTAAGATCACTGGCCTCATTCTATCTTCCCTCTCAGAGGTGGGATGTTTGAGGGCAGGGACAGAGTGTTACTCAGCTCCGTATTCCCCATGCCTGGTCTACAATTTAGTCAATGTGCTCTTAGCTTACCATTTCTGGACCCCAGTGGGATAATGGTAAAGCAGTTTACAAGGTAATAGTATGTCAATCACTCTCCCTCCCAAATGGTGAAGTAGCTTCCCATTCTAGTCATGATGTTTCTCTACTCCCCCTCCCCTCTGTATATTCTTTTTTTTCCCTATGTGCCTTGTGATGGTTACTAAGGAACTGAGTTCCCCATCTGGCTAAAAACCACAACAAAGGTGAGTAAGCAGGGGGGAAATTTGAACAGAATTAAATTTGCAGAGTTAATGGTGAGTTTTCTCAAAACATTTCAAGAATAATGAATTTTTAAAAAAATATCTAACTGGGATATGTACATAATAAAAATAAGCAAAACCCAAAAAAACCCAGTACTGTGCACATCACCTCTGAAGAAAGCCCAAACATGAATGTGATGTCCAGAAAACATCATTTCTTGCATCAGAAGGCAGAAAGGCTTCACATAATGAGACATTTAACCTCATATCCCACTCCCACAGCGCAGGCAGGAGAGGAAAATGAGCCACCGAACTGGCACAGATTTGCAGAGACTGTGAAGAGCCTGTACCTGCTGGCTTTCCTGAACCGCGGGAGCAGAGGTGGCTTGTGCGGGTGACGAAGGGTGGCTAGGTGAGGTAGGAGGTGCTGTGCTGGTGTGAGGCTGGGTCAGGAAGGCCTGCTGCTCAGGGAAGTCCAAGGACAAGGTAGGGGGGGCACGAGTCCTGCCCTCCTGGGAGATTACAGGCTGCTGGTCAAGCACCAAAAACACCAGCTCCTCCTTCTCCCGGCACATTTCGGTGGAGATGTCATGCAGGCTGAGATAGTCCCTCAGGTCCTTCACCTTCATCTTCATGAGCTCTTCCCGCTGAAAGGCTGTGGCTCGGAATCGTTGGCAGAGGAGGCAGAGGCGGGGCCCATTCCCCACTTGGCTTGAACAGGTCATGCAGAAATTTTTCTTACAGTCCAAGCAGGTCTGCTGCTTAGAGCAAGAGGTAGAGGAAACCACGTCAGATTGAGAGAACAAGACACAGCGTGGGATGGGAGCTCTAGGGCTGCCAAGCCTAGCAAGACCTCCTCCACTCACTCTCACGGTTATTAAGCTAGCTCCTATATCTAAGGCTACAAGAAATTTTACAGATTTTAGGTTAAAAAGCAGTCAGAGGTGGCAGACCACGTGTATGTATCTGTATAACATATACAGGATACTTTACACTTATTATTTGAGGTTTTATCTTCCCATTTTACTGATGAAGAAACTGAGGATATTAATTAAGTCTAGTAGCTTTAGAATCAGAAAGTCACCTTCCCTTCCTTCTTTCAGTATCACTGTGGGTATGTAACTTAGCCTCTCTGACCCTCAGTTTCCTCATCTGTAAATGGGGATGACAATAGCATCTATCTCTTAATAGATAATGCATTTAGCATACCTGACACATAATGAGTCCTCACCAAATGTAACTGTTTTAATTATTTTCACTAAGAAATACTAGCTAAGGATGAGAGCCAGGATTCAAATCCTACTTTCTGATCCTAAACTACAATTCTTTCTGCTTTATGGTGGTAGTTGTTATTATTATTAGTTAAATTTAACTCAAAAGAAAGGTCTGGCAATCTCTTCTAAAAAATCAGCCATTGAAAACCTAACAGAGCATAATTCTACCCTGACACCAGGGGATCGCCATGAGTTGGAATCAACTTGACAGCAACTGGTTTTTACTGGTTACTACACACAAGAGCTACATCAGGAGTCCCTTGGTGGCGCAAATAGTTAAGCACTTGGCTACTAACGGAAAGGATGGCAGTTCGAATCCACCCAGAGGTCCCTTGGAAGAAAGTCCTGGTCATCTACTTCCCAAATGTCACAGCCATTGAAAACCCTATGAAGCACAGTTCTACTCTGAAACACATGGGGTCACTGTGAGTCTAAATCAACTCGAAGGCAGTTGATTTTTTAAAGCTGCATCTAGGTTGTCACTTGATTCTCACAACAACCCAGAAAAGTAGCTTTTTTAGTGCTCCTCCCTGTTTCACAAAGCAACCAAGGCTTACAGAGATTTAAGTATTATTTTCCAGGTTAGGCTGTATGCAACAAGAGCTGGGATTCAAACCCAAGGTCTGTCTGAGCCTAACGCCCACGATCATGCACTTTCCACCAGTCACGCTGTCTGATTCAGTCCGATTCAACCCTCCAGCAGTGGTGAGTCATGGCCTGGCTTTGCAACCCCAAACTCCCAATCCACAACCCCATCAGCTGAGGCTGGTGCCCAGGCTCCCCAACTACAGGAGGAATACTTAGAGTGCTGGGAATTCAGTGGTGCATAAGACCATATCCAATACAAATATTTAGACAGCTAGCGGAGGCCCTCTGGACATCAGGGTGCTCTCACTTGTGAAAGTACAGAGTGTCTCAGAGTAGCTGAGTAACGCATCTGACATGCAAGCTGGCACCGCCTGGCAGCGGCTAGTCACACAATCACAGGGAATACACTAAGGCTTGTTCAATCCACAGGAAGCACGTTTCTCGGCCTCTTGCCCCACAGGCTGGGCAAGCACAGTGACATCTGGCTGAGCTCTGTTCTAGCCAAAGCAGGTTACCCTCTCACAGGAGAGGTAGTTCCAGGGTGCCCTGAGATCGTCCTGGGGGGGCACACTCACTAATCCGCTAAATAAACTGAAAACTTTTCATCCTGTGGTGACTAAAGTATTAACCCAAATAGTTCTGCTCCCTCTTTTCTAAATATAGAAAGCCTAAAAGCAGTTCAACTACAAAGAATGCCCAGGGGACTTAGATTCTCATAGCTGAGATCACAGGCACCCTTGCATGGGACTGAAGTAAACGCCTGCGTAGTTAAGACAGTTATATTTAGTTTTTGTCTAAGCATCATTCATGTAGTCAAGGGAAAAGGACATAATTTTGATAATTAAGTCTTAGAAGGCATTGCAAAGGGACACATATCAAGCTCCCTTATTCTCTGCCCAGGTATAACCAGGTAATAAAACATTCAGAGACTGGCTAACAAGGACATACAGCTGCACTAGCACCAAAAGGATTTTGGGGCCAGGAGCTACTCAGGAAGAAAATGGATGTTCTAGGGTACCTGGAGTTCAGTCACATCTAACGCTCTTCTATTGGGAAATGCACTGTGTTTAGCATGACTGATGGTGACATGAAGACGCTTCAGTGTCAGCGAGCTGTACGTCATGACCCGGAGCGTAACTCAAGTCCATGCAGTTTCACAAGACCTTGCTTGACACAATTATAAAGCCCTGATTTGCTCAATCAGCCAGATCCAAACAACTTTCAGATTCCTTCTTCAAATACGTGTGGCTCACTGGATGCAAGGTTAGAATGCAAAGAGAGCAACCAAACTTCTCTGTACCGTCTGCTCACCAGGGACTCTGAAGTAAGCCGCCATCTGAAACACACCCTAAAGGAGCAGGATAATGTTGGAGGGCTAGAATTCCAGTTTGCAGAGGCAGGAAAGAACAAAGGAAAAAAGGGTTGTTGACAAAAAGCGGGCAGAATGAGCAAACTCTTACTTATAAATTCTAGCAAAACAAGACAGCATGAAAGATGAATTTAATGGAGGCCACACGCCTGCAGAAATGCCAGTAGTACACTCAAGTATGCAGCATCTGAAGACTGGCCAGGCACCTCAGCAGGCACCGCCCTCCAGAGATGTGGTAATGTTGCTTTGCTTTTTCCTCTGCCAGTCTGCCCTTTCCACATCTCTCCCACAGCCCCACCCCTATCCCCTGGTATTGCTCAGGCCCAGATTCTCACCCTACCAGCCCCTCCTCCTCACCCTTTCCTGTAGGCATTCCTTCCTCCAGCCCACTGGGAGGGAAAAGGGCAGCCTGAGGAGTGATGATGAGAATCGAGTCCTGGCTGACCACTTTCTGGTTAAGGGAATTTGTGCAACCTCCCAGAGTATCAGATTCCTCACTTGTAAAGTCGGAAAGGTTAGCCTACCTCAAAGGACCATTGGAAGTATTACATGAGATAATGTATATAAAATCTGAGCGTAAGGTGGGCACTCATGAAATTAACACCATCACCTTTTATTCCCTCTCCCCTTCGCCTCATCTCTGAGCTTCTGTCAGTACCTAGGACCCACCCTCTCCCTCTTCTTTCCACTCTAAGATTTAGATATCTATCTCTTCCATGTTTCTAAGCACAACCTCCTCCTCAAACTGGGCTAATGGGGCTGGGTTCCAAACCCTCCACATTGACAGGGCTGCTGCTAAACCACATGCAGGTATTAGCAATACTGGTGGGATATCTGGCTTGTGGCAAAATTACAGCCTGCCATTTCCCTCCAAGATTGGGAACTCTGGGTGGGGGAAGGGGGGGAGGGGAGTGGGAAGGGGACATATCTCATTTATGTTTCTCTGTAAAGTCCTTAACGCTATCTGCTTTGCACCCAACGAGTTTTTAGAAAATACTGACCATAATAAAAAAAAAAAAAAAAAGACAGAGAGAGAAAAAAAAAAAGACAGTAGGATTCATGTAATCATCTCAATCCAACCACTTCTAGAAAAGATATTTTAAACGCCTCTGGCTGTTAAATACCAAATGCTTAAGATAAGAACATTGTTCCGCTTAAGCATGAAATTACAAATGAAAAATTCTCTCACAGGAGAAAACATCCTTAATATTCACAAAAATCATACTTTCGTGGCAAGAAAATACTGTACTTATAATCATCTTTTACCACCCAGACTGGAACCTGACTTCGCCCCACAGAGGCTCTCTGTGCTGCGGATGCTTTCCTCCCATCTCACTGCGTGGTTCTGTACCTGCCCGTCTTCCTGTCTGACTATGTGCTCCGTGGTAAGCAGGGATAGATGTTTTCACCTCTGCCACTCTAATCCAGCCAATGCCTGACACACACTAGAGAGTCAATAATTTATTTTCCAATGAATAAAAACAGTTCCTTATTTCAATCACCACCATGCTCCTAGGCACACAGGCCTAAAGCCTGTCATCTTCGACTCGGCCGTTTCTTCTGACACTTCATCTGTCTTCATTTCGGAGGAAACGGGGTATACTGGAAAAGGAGAAACCTGTGGAACCACATGGTACTTGGATCAAATTCTGCTCTGCTGCTTACCAACTGTATGGCCTTGTACCTTAGTAGCTAAGTATTTTAGTGTCTCTGGGTCTCAGATTTTTCATCTCTAAAATGAGGTTAACACCTACTGCTTCACGGGGTATGGCACAAAGCGTTGCTCACTAAATGGGAGCTACATCTATCAGCCCCTTCACCACCAGATTAAGAATCGATCATTTCTCACTAAGTATGCAAGAGCTTCCTAACTGGTACTCCTACGCACTCAATTAAACCACCCTCCTAATGAAGCCAAGTCAGCTACCTGAAACAGGACTGATCATGTCATTCCTTCATTCAAAATATTTCTGATGGCTCCTTGTTGCTGGCCTGAAACCCCTTACTAAGGCAGTCAAAGCCCTTCACTACCTGATCCCAACTTTCTTTCCACCCTAACTTTCCAAGTATCCTGCACTCTGGCCAACCAGGCCACTCATAGTTCTCAAATACGCCTTGCATTTGTCCCAACCTGGTACCTTTACTTCAGCCAATGGTTTACAAATCTATAAAACCTTCCCTGACCAGCTAGAATTCTCATCTTATGCTTCAATTTATAAACAGTATCTGATTCCCTAATACCTAATTATGCAGCCAGCTATTATTAGTTCCTTATAAATGTGGGTCTCCTTACCTAGACAGTAAGCTCCTTGAGGGCAAGGCCTTACTCAGCTCTATATCCCCAAAGCTATAACCTCTAGCTGCTAGCAGGTTGCTGCTGGTACAGAATTGGGCCCTCACTGTTAATATGCAGCACTGAATTGTCAGCCATAAAGTAATGAAAATAGAAACTCTGGCCTCTTTTTCAAAGTGTTCTCGACTTCATTTGTCCATTCAGTCATGCTTTTTAAATGTATTGCCTGCCTACTACGTATCAGTCACTGTTCTAGGCACTGGGGATAAAGTTGTGAATAAAACTGACAAAGCCCTTGTTCCTATGTGCCAAATGGGAAGACAGACAATAAAAGAAACATATTTATGTCAGGTCTTGATAACCACTATGAAGAAAAATAAAGCATCTTCCCATTCTCACCTAACCATCATTCTCCTTTCTTTGGGAGTGTTTTCCTCATTCTCTCTTCTGGCTGAAAAATGTCAAGAACCCTCTAGATCCCCTGGCTCCCTCAATTTTCATCATGCTTAACATGCCAATCCCCAAGCCCAGATCTCCGTCACTGCTCTTTCCTCTTTCCCCATTTCCACTCCACAGAGCATAGCTGACGTTTAAAAAACAGGTTCAAAGAAACCTACTGCAAACTCATGCTGTCTAATTTAAACGAGGGCCTTTCCTATTCCCTTCTTGCAAATTACCTTGCCACTTCCACCAGCCGTTGTTCTAGCATTTCTCACAGTGTAAAACAGTGAACACAGCAAGGATGTCTAACTGACTCCTGAGGTACATGAGGAATACTCGAAACTACAGTCTTAAAGTGACCAATTTCTTCACCTGTAAAATGGGAATAAATAATAGGACACTTCATAGTTGTTGTAAAGATTCAATGAGATAATGCACATCAAGTGCCAAGCACAGTGCCTGGCATACAAGTGCCCAGTAGCCTCGCTTCCTTCTCATCTCAGATCCTAAACTCTACTCTGTCTTCTCCATCACTGAGGGCTGAGGCCACATGGCACTGAGTTCCTTCTTCTCTCCGATTCAGTCTCGGTCTACTGACTCAACCTTTCAGTCTAAGTGTATGAGGCACTTCCACCCAACCCCAGCCGCAGCTCTCTGCTCGCCTGAAACAGTCTCTCTAGCTGAGTTCTCACGGCGACTGGGGCAGCCAAGCAAATCACAACAAAGCTTGGCTATCTGCCACCTTCACTGCAGTACAACACAAGGCAAAATGCCAATCCTCCATCATCCTAGAGGTACAAAAGGGTGCATGGTCAACATTTCAAGATGCAGAAATTCTGGCATACTGTGGGGGTGCTTTGGAGTCAAAGACCTGGGTTTGAATCCCGGCTCTGCCATTTAACAAATATGTGAGCTTGGGGGCGCTACTAAGCATAGAGAAAAGAATGAATGTTTTAATGCCTCTTATGCTATTTGTCAGGAACTTGACACATACAGTTTCCTTTTTTAATTTTAAGCTCTAAGCCTTAGTTTCTCATATGTAAAATGTGAGTTTGGGGATTCTAAAAGCTAGATCATAGAGATATTGTGAGGATTAACGGAAGCAAAAAAATCTAAATTGCTCAGAAGAGTCCCTGACATAAAGCAGATGTTTAAAAAATATTTCCCCTCATCACCATTTTAACATCACATCCAATCACTCTCACTCCGTAGAAGAATGCGAATGCAGTTCTTTATCCAGGTCAGAGATCACCCTCTGTCCCAGTCATGCTTGACCATCGAGAATACACTGCCTCCCAGGCATTGACAAAGGGGATGGCCCACTCCCACACACCATTACTCAGCCAATAATATTATTTCCTGCTAGCTAATCTGGGAAGCATGGCTACCCAGCAATTCAAATGAAATTAACAGCTACAGTAAATAAGCTCTAATCTTTGTCTTGTTAGGGTCCTGATGTACCTGAGGCGTCCTTGACATTGTTTTAGATAAAAAGAATGTGTTAATTTGCAGTTAAGTCTTTCATGATGGTGGCTAATGAAGGACACTAACATTGAATACCAGCTATGTTCCAAGCATCACACTGGGCACACTTCTTCATAGCTTACTTCATAGCCTATCTTATTTTCTTCTCACAACAACCCTGTGAGATGGGGATTAGTACTATCCCCATTTTATAGATGGGGAAATGGAATTTCTGAGAGGTTAAGTCACACAGCAAGTAAATAGCAAAGCTAGTATCTGAATTCAGTCCTATCTGGCTCCAAATCTATGCTAAGATGCTTTGCTTTTGCTTGGTTTAGTTTTTCTTTAACAATTCTGTGAACTGGCATTGAGTCTGGGTAGCAATGCACAGGCACAGGGGAGGCAGCAGGCACCCACGGTGAAGTCAGTGGCTGGCCTGAGGCCCTGAGGCTGTAGCAGCAGAGCAGGTGAGAACTCAACACTCACCTTCCTGGCCATGTTGGCAAAGTGGGCCCCACAGCCCCTGCAGCTGGGTTCAGAGCCTGTTGGGGAAGGGAAGGAGCTGTACCCAGGGTTGGAATAGGCTTGCGTCCTGGCTCCCTGGGGTGGTGGGGTCTCTTCAGGCTGTCCATCCAGGCAGAACCAGTTGCAGCAGGTTGCCCACATTATAAAATCTGGTTTAAGGGAGCAAAGGGGAAAATGTCAGAATTAAGACATACCTCTACTGCTGTTTCCATTCCCAAGGCTGCAGGTGTGCAGGGTTACTCCATCCACACTTGCCGCCAGAGCTGATGTGAGGACATGTTTTCAGTGGCCACAGGTTGCTTGCCACCTCCTCCACCATCAACAGCTGTCATTTCACAGAAGAGGTGCATATAGGCACCTGATCTGCCAAGTTGGCACACTGCCTTAGAAATGCTGCTGATCCCTGATAGGGTTTAATTTGAGCTCTAACTTCAAATAAAGTATTTTCTTACCTTAGCAAATACAATTGGCCTAACACCTACTTTATTCAGGAATAGGGCCTTGCCCCTAGAGCTCAGATACACAGAACTTCATCATGTACACACACACATACACGTATAATGGCATACTCACACCAACCATGGGAAACAAATCAAAAACCAAACCCACCGCTGTTGAGTCAATTCCGACTCATAGCGATCCTATAGGACAGAATAGAACTGCCCCATAGGGTTTCCAAGGAGCGGCTTTCATGATGGTGGTTCGAACTGCTGACCTTTTGGTTAACAGCCTGAGCTCTTAACCACTGTGCCACCAGGGCTCCAACCATGGGAAGGAGATATTATTTCCTTTATATAGATGAGACAGCCCAGGCTCAAAGAAGTCAAGGTCACACGATACGTAGAGCTGAGACTCTAGAATCCCAGGTCTTCTGACTCTAAACCTAACGTTCTTTTCCCTGTATCATGCTGCCCTTGATTTTTCCTCCCACTCACCAGCTAAACCACTCTTATACTTGTACCCCAATCTTAGATATATATCTATCACAGCACCTGTAACAGGTTCTTCCACAGATCTGCATATCTTTTGTTTTCTACCAGTTAACCATAAATTCCTTGAAGACAGGGGCTACTTCTTACTCATGTCCGTACCCTAGCAATGTCTGGCACATAGGAGATGCTCAACAAATGTTGCTTCCTTGCTGAATCAGTGCCTCTATAGATTTATTAAGAAGTTTTGGATTATTGTTCCCATTTTACATATTAAACTCTGGTATTAGAGATAAGGGTATGTGTGATGATTTTTAAGATCACAGAACAAAGAGAGCTCAATCTCTCAAATCTCAGAATAACCTGAAGATTACAAGAGGGTCCACTAAATGCCAAGTATCGCTGTGATAAAATAAGAGCGTATTTTTCTCTATACACCAAGGCAGTCAATATGGACATTTTGAGCCTGAGCTCTTTGCTTTCAGAGATAATAAAGGAAACATTTAGCATTAGCATTTGATAATCAGTTCACACAAAAGAACAGTACTTTCTGCTCTATCTCCTGACTCATTCATTGTTCTAACAAAGGCACTTTCTTAGTTCAAAGACATGGAGAGCTGGAAGGAACTAAGAAGCCATCTAGTCTAACCAGGGACATGTTATAGGGGGAAAGAATAAGGAAGGCCCAGCAAGGGGAAGTAACTTCCCTGGGTCACACACCTTAAGCCTCCTAGCTTCATTAGGGTATTTTCAGCTTTTCAACGTCCAACACACTACCTGTGACAGAATTCACTCACTTCTGTAGAAGTCTCTGATTAACACTTGTCTCCCTGTGACACCATGAGAACAGGGGCCGTGACAGTCTTACAATGCCCCGTAGACAGGTGGCTAAACAAGGACTGTTAAATCTTATACAATATACTTAAGTCTTAACTAACCACATATTCATTCAATTTTCTGCATGTCCAAAACATTTCTCTCTGACTCATTATAAATTGTCTGATGACTCTTAAGTTCCCAGAAGACAAGGATCTAGTCTGCCTTATTTGCAACTAATAGTTCACATGGAATAATAAAATAAAGAGCAGTTAAATAAATGAGGTATTTGGGGGCAAGAAACTGGAGTCACCAGAGGATTAGTAGCCCTCTGAAAGAGGAATTTTGTAATTCTTCAAATCACACGTTGAAAGAAGTAGGAGACTGTGTGCAATGATATAAAGAGCAAGGGATTTGGGATCAGGCTTGGGCCCCAAGTCCTGCTCTACTATGAATGGGCTGTGTGACCTCTGAAAAATCATACCCTCTCTGCCCCTCATTTTTCTCATCTGGACACTCTGCAGGCTGTATAGCACTAAATAAACATTCATTGCTGCTACCATCATTACCGTTATGCCTTTAACTGTAATTTTTCTGAACTTAGAGATTTCATCACAATTACCATTTGGATTTTTGAGCTACAGTATTCCCCTGACTGTGGATCATTCACTAATTTCTATTAAAATCTCTACTCTTTTACATGTGCATGAAATCCTTACTGAAGCCAATGCCCATTCTTCCCATTGCTAGGTGAGTAAGGTAAGAGTGTCTACCCTTAAGGAATTCACAGTCTAGTAGGAGAACTAGAAATATAAAAGCCAAACTGAAATTTTGGAGTGTGCCTTATTTAACAGAAGTTTGCACAGTGTGTGGGGGCTACAGAGATGGAAGTGATTAGCTCTATAGGGGATGAAGGGTGGCCAGAGAAGGAGGTGCCGCACATCCTATCTTCATACAGGAGTGAATGGGAATTTACCAGAAAGCCAAGAGTAGAAGGAATTTTCAAAAAAAAAAAAAGCATGTGCCCTGGCATCAAAGGAACTACAAAATGCTTGGCTGGGTCAGGGATAAGAATGGGGGTGGATAAGGTTACACGTAAACGAGAAACTGTGAAAGACCTTGTATTCCATGATAAGGAATCTGGACTTTATCCTGTAAGTCATGGGACACAAGTAGGGGGTTTTAGGCAGCCAGGTTTCATGATCTTGTTTGCATTTTACAGCAGGCAGTTATGGTAGCAAGCAGCATGGAGAATGGATCAGCAAAGAGTAGGCTGGAAATAGGAAGGTGCATTGGTAGTATTGGCAAGAAATGAGCATATGGGCATAGGGAAAAGGACAGACAGATCTTTGACAGAATGAGCAGGATGTGTCAATTAAGTGAACAAGGTGGGAGAAGGGAGGGATGAATCCTAGGATCTCTGACTTAGATGACAAGAGAGATTATGGAATCACTACCTGGGATAAGGTCCTCAGGAGGAGGCATGTGTCCATGTAAGGGGGAGGATGGCGGGGTGCAAAAATGGCATGACAGAGGCATCTGACCTCCTCTAACTTCACAAGGGGAAGGAGAACCAAGCTCAACAGCCAAAGGCTGATTCCAATGAGGCAGAGTTCATGCCTCCTCTTGCCAATCTTTTTACCAATTCTGACACCAACCATCCCTCCCATGGCACTCTCTACTTCTCTGCTGGGTTCGATAATTCATTGCAATGGCCACACAGAACTCACAGACCATACTCACAGTTATGGGGTTTACTAGGGAAGTAACAGGTTACATTTCAAGTTCAGAAACATTTAAGATACAGTTCTTTCATCGGGACAGCCTCTTCTCAGCTGTGCCCACGGGCAGGCTGGCCCTTGGCCACTCAGGGCCTCTGTCCTGCTCAAGCATTACAAAGCTCTTTTAGCTCTGCCGATAAGTGCCTGGAGGCACCCCACTCCGCCAGTAAGCCTGCCACGCCATTTTTTTCAGGGCAGTTTGGATGATGAGTTTTGTACCGTGGGACATCCTGATGGATACACAGCACACAGGGGGAGGGTGTGGGGGAAGATAAAGGTTTGGGAATCCTCAGCCTACTGGGAAGTATTTAAAGCCAGAGTGGGGCAGGTCACTGATTAGATAGATAGTCTGGGTCAGAAAAGGGCCTGGGAGAACTCTTCGGAACAAGGACAAGTAGAGGAAAGCCAATCAGCTGAACAGACAAGAAAAAACGTTCCAAGAGGTGGGACAACTGGAAGAGGGTTTTGAACAACACTGCCAAATGACCAAGAGAGCTGAATACAATGAGGAATGCAAAATGTCCACCGGATTTAGTTTTCGGAAAGCATGAGTGTGCTCTTTGCTGGAGTAGTTTAGGAAGAAAAAGCTGGCTGATAACCATAGTTTGAAAAGTGAGTGAGGAGTGAGAATTTGAAGACTCCAAAGACAATTATTCTTTCAAGAAATCTTACTGTGAAGGAAAAAGAGAAGGGGGATCCAGGGTCACTAAGATAAGAGAAATGTAGGCATATCCATTGAATGTAGAGGCAACTCCAAAAGACTAAGATTATAGAGGAAGAGAAGCTAGTAATAAATAACAGGAAGAAGGGATAGGATTAGAAAGAAAAGTGATCAAGTGATCAGATTAGGGGCATGGATTACCTCCAGCAGGAGAAAGGTTACCTCTTTCATCAGAGTGGAGCGGAGGTGAAAGCAGATATAACCAAAAGTAAGTTGACAGCATTAGCCGGAGAAAGGTGAAAGAATGAAATAAAAAGGAAAGGGGAAGTGAGTTAAAGCTCAAGATGAAAATAAACTCCTCCTCCAGACAGGAATCTGCATATTGTACATTTTTCCCAAGAGGTAAGGAATTTGCCACAAAGTGGCTAAGGGACAATCAGCAGGAAAAAACTGAAAAGCTGGCCAACTGTAAATTCTATTTAAATTAATTTGTTTAAACAAGCACTTAGGAAGCACCAGCTGTGTGCTGGGCACTGGTGACACACGGAAAAAAAGTGATTTTGACATGATCCCTGCCCCCAAGGGGCTTCAGGCACTATAGCTCAATTCTAAGAAAGCTTCTCCTTCACTGAGTGTCAAAAGAACCCATCTTCCTCAGTACTATTTTTAGCCTCTCAACTTTGGATCTATCCTTAACTGCCTCCTCTAAACATCTCTGAAAAAAAGTGTTTGGCCTCTACAAGTATTTAGCTACTTTTAAAAGAAGAATTGGTCTCTGGGAGAAGACTTGAAATTTGCCATTCTCTTATTCCACAGGTTAGGTGGAGAGCTAGGTCTCACCTTGAGGGTTATGTGTGTGTGGGGAGGGGTTTATTGTGGAAAGGAGGTGGTGGGTGGAAAGAGTTTCCAGTACTAAAATAAAATATCTTGGACCTGTTCAGTCTAATAGAACAGGTTCGCCA